AGCACTGTGTGCTTGAAGAGGCCCTGTTCGGGTGGTGGAGGGAGGTTTTTTCTTGTGGGGGGGGGGCGGGGGGGGGGGGGGAGCATGGGGGGGTGAGGGGGGGGGGGAGAGGGTGGGGGGGGGGGGGGGGGTGGGATGGGGGGGGGTGTTGGGGGGGGGGGGGGGGGTTTTTTGTTTTGGGGGGGAGAGAAAAAAAAAAAGAGGGGGGGGGGAGAGAAAAAAGGGGGGGCGGAAGCCCGGGTGGGGGGGGGGGGGGGGGGGGGGGGGGTCCTCTTGTTGTCGTGGAGGGGAAACCTGCAAAAAAAGACAATAATTTTGGTAGGCTTTTGGCGGGGCTGTTACTCAAGGTGGTGGGCGGGCTCCACCCGATTCCCTCCCGTCGTAGTGTCGCTGTGGTACACGGCCGCTGGCACGAAAGCGCGCTGTCCTGGCCCGACCTGAGGAGGGGGTTCTGCTGTTTTAGTGCCTACGGATACAATGAAGAGAAATTGTTAGTGATTTGGACTTTTGACTGGCTGTAGTTGCATGTGAAGATTGAGTTGCACCACTACGAGCAAACAAGGCACTCAGGCAGGCGCGCATATAGGCGCAGCAACAGAGCAGCACTCGCCTTTTTCGTTACCAAGTAATATACTGTTGACTGGTATGCCTCGAAAAGCCAAAACCTGTATCTATATTAAGAGGAAGAGGTCTCGCGTTTGCCTTGCCTACCAACGCGGTGATCAGATAGACATTCACCAATTACCTAGGGCACTCTAGACTTGACCTTAGGGTAGGTCAACAAAGAGACGCAGCAATTGAGTACAGCAGAAAAAGCAAAATGGGAGCGCAAGAAAACTCTGAAAAGGAATTAACACAAAGGAAGAAAGGCCCGCTGACAAGCTTCACCATGTAAAGATGCACGGCATGAAGCCGAGAGGCTCATCGCAAGCAAGGAGCTCCCTATCTAAGGGCATTTGCGTTTTCGTCCAAGCTCCCGCCTGCCCTCGGGCACAGGAGACTAGTAGAGGTGGCTATACTATGTAAATGCCGTTTTACAGACCAGGCTCTTTGACTGGCCACAAGCAAAGCCCAGCTTAATGTTAGGGCCCGGGCATACACCATACAGTCATTGCCTGTCCACAGTAGTCTCCTCGACTGGCCTCAGGGAAAAGTCACACAAGGTAGCTGCAGGCCGCCGCTGCTAGTGTGGTCAACGGATGAAATGGCGACTGGATCCAACGTGGGATTCTCCGTCAGTGCCGGGCCTTCAGTCGACATCATCCCATGCTTAACAGTAGATAATCGAGTTAGTCTCATGCCCAGGTTGCCTATAGAAGATACATATACAAGATACATACACCAATCCAGGTAGCTATCATACAGCAGATATGCACATAAGGCAGGTAATGTGGAGTGAGTTGACTACAATGTATTGGAATGGTAAGGGTATTGTTACGCAAAAGGAGCCAATGGGAACCTACCTAGCCCGCCAGCTTCCATGGAGGGGTAACGGAGGTCCTTACCTAAACCTGGAGCACCAAAACTTCGGCTCGTGGTGGCCCGGGGTTGCGTCTCCGGGGCGAGCCACCCCGCCGTGTAGTGGCCAAGGTTTGCCACCGTAGCGCCTGCCATGATGCTGCACCCAGGCTCACTAGGGAGGTTACTAGCTAATTAACTCACAACCCCTCACATTACTTGTTCCATCAGATTGCTCCTTTCTTTTTGCTTTCCCCGCCTTAGTCGTGTCGTCGTCGTCGTCGCCGTCGTCGTCGTCGTCTTTAGTCGTTGCAGGAGATACCAAACTCTCTTCAGGTCCTTCACGCATGGTTCGAACCACCTTTACAGCTCGCTGTTCCATCATCCCAGCATCGCGACGTTCGCACACTTCAGCTTCTCCCGCACGAGTCAAACCAGTTTTCAACCAATAGAACATCTTCTTGCAGAGAGTCGCGGAATACCATTTGAAAGCGCATGTCACACTCATCTCCCTTGACGCCTTCGGATCCATTAGATCACCGGAGCCTCTCAATTGCGATCCATACCTAGCTCTGCGTAAGGCGGCGCAGCTTCTCCGGCCTAGGCTGGGCAACAGTCGCTCTCGCGCGCAATCAGCCGACCGTTGACTTCTTCGTCTCTCGGCGCCTCGTCAATAATCCGCTCAGCCACCACATAACAAGCAGCCTGCAAAGTGAAGACACTGTTGAGGGAGGGTAAGCCTTAGCCGACATCACGAGCTTCTTAGACAGTGGTTTACCAAACTGCTGCAACATAGCAATCCGCCAACTGCCAACCGCCGTCACTTCGGAACCCCGCCCTTAATTTACCCATCTTGCTAGAACACCCCGAGTAGACCGGCCCAAATCAGGTTGCACTGAGAGCGCCCGATCGAATTGAGTCATGGACGCAACACCGACGTCTGGGGCGCACAATGACGAAGCCATCATAACCTCACCTCCTGCGGTCCCTCAGCGAACTCCATCCCAGACGAGCCTGCACAAGACCACCCACGTCCACGCCCATCGTCAGAGCTTCGCTGAGAATCTGAGAAACGCTCCTGGGTCGCCTCGCGCCCAGCGACACCCTTCCTTTACCCAAGCTGCTGTTCAGGACCTTCTGAACCACCCACCTGCCGCCAATAAGCATTCGAACCCGCGCTTTGCAGGCCGCGACTGGCGCGATATCTCGGTCAACGAGCTCGTTGCCCAGGATGACTTCAGATGGGTCACTCTAGACACCAGTGTCGAGGAGGCGTCCATGGTCCGTTTCCCCTCATCTCGTCCAAGTGTTTCGCATCTTTTACTAACAATGCAGTAGACTCTAGTCAAACACAGCCCGTCCAGCGTCGTTTTGATCCGAGAAGACGCTTCGGCCAATACCGCCGTCTCGACCTTTGACTATAATGACCTGAACACATATCTGCTCGTAGTTGTAGGACTCGCCAGGCCCGACGAGGAACAAGTGCCTTTGTATGACGAAATCGTGAACAAGGCGCAGACCGGATCTCGTATAGCCCTGCGCGATATCCAGCCACTGTGCCGCAAGGAATCACTCATCACCTTGCCCTTTGATGAGACACTGGAGCGGGCCATCGAAGTGTTCGGCAGCGGTATCCACCGCGTTCTAGTCACGAACCCGTCGGGCGATGTCATCGGCATTCTCAGTCAGCTCAAGGTCATCGAATTCTTCTGGAATGAAGGCATCAATTTCCCCGCCATCGACAGATTATACCCTGTAATTCTACGCGATCTCGGCATCGGCACTCAGCAGATCGTTTCCGTCAAGTGAGAAAACACCCCCTCCTCCCACTATTTTGTTACAGGAACTGATGCTTCGTAGCTCCGACAGCATATTGGGAGACGCCTTGGCGCTCATGAACGCCGAGGGACTGACGAGTGTGGCTGTCATTGACAATGGCCATAACGTTGTTGGAAATATTTCCACGGTAGATGTCAAGCATCTAACGAATGCCGCCGACGCGCCTCTGCTCAAGTCGTCTTGCATGCATTTCATCTCAGTCATCCTAGGTGAGCGTGGTGTTGAGCACGGCCGCGACTCCTTCCCGGTGTTCTATGTGAACCCGTACTCGACGCTGGCGCACACTGTAGCAAAGCTGGTGGCCACCCAGTCTCATCGTATGTGGGTGGTTGAATCGGCGTCTCCGTCCCCGTCCGCACCGGCTACTCCCTTGTTGGCACCCACAACATCGTCGGTGCTGGTGCCGGGCTTAGGCTCCGCGCCTCAGTCACCTCTCCCGACCCAGGTTTCACATGTTGTACCTGCTGCGGCCATGCCGGGAGCCCATCTCTCCGGCCGTCTGACCGGTGTCATTTCGCTGACCGACATTTTGAACATGTTTGCAAAGTCGTCGGGCCTGCGGCCGTCGGACCCGGGCGAGCAGCGAGCGCGCCGTCGCAGGAGCAGCAGCAGTTCCATGCGGCCGAGTCTTGACTCGTCGAGACCGAGCCTTGACTCACGTCGATAAGGAGACTTAATTGCCAATGATATGGAGAAACAAGGAAGTCCTAGAGAGCTTCACCGGGCTTTTTATGACTGGCGTTTGTGGGTTCGTCGCATGGGGCTTTGATTACGGCAAGGGCATGATGATGCTCAGGTTTATGCTTTTTTTTGTTTCCCATAGACGGCCGAAACTTCAGACGAGGTATTCCAGATCGCTATCGACAACAGACGGCCATCGCAATATATGTGATCTTAATATGGGGGTCATCTTATGCCGCTCTCCCTTGACACATGAGATGAATCTTCGTAACGTAGATGGGCTCTGTGCTTCGTGACTAACCACATGTGTTATGTCTGCCGCTATTGAGGCAAATCTACCAGAGGGGAAATCATCCGCTGACTAAGCGTTTTGTCGTTGCTTTATACACGTATATTTTGCTGATTAGTTGCAATTCAATTGTTATGGTCAAGGACAGAAGGAAGACAGACACCAGGGTGCACTACTGATCTCCGCTGAATACTATGCGTGGGCGTGAAACTTTTGCATTGATATTGCTATAGCTTCTTGGCCGCTTTCCACTATTCATCCTCTAACCCAGTGCCACACATCATCAAGCACGACGCAGGCCTAAAAAATGGTTTGGCGCATAGCTTTCTTCGCAATGCCCCGTTTTGTCCAACCAAGCCTTTGCCCAAATCTTTGGCACGATGGGTTCACCAACCATGGAACAGATAAGCGCCTAGTTGCCGATGCAGCTCGAGCTTGCTTTCGATACATCGAGATGTTGCATTCGACACCTCGTTGCCTGATGCTCTTGCTTGCACTCTGCCTCCTGCGCGTTTGCTATTTTGGTTCACAACTTGGATCGGCTCAAGGCCAACAACATTCAGCGTATTCCCTCGAGGGCTAGTCACGGGTCTGTAGATATCGTGACCTGGACGAGGCTCTCCACGGCCTGATAACCCTTCTCGTCGAATTCGTTGTCAATATTGCGATGCAAAAACTTTTGCGCCCAACTGTTCGAGTTCGCTCCATTCCTCACAACAAAGGGACGCGTGCTTCAACCGGATGTCGTCTTTTTCTTCTTCTTGCACTTCTCCTTTCTCTCTTTCTTGTCCGTTTTTTCCTTTTTACCGATCGCGACGGCGTCGGCGTTCTGCTCCTCCTCGTCGTTGGCCACTGCCGTTGGCTCCACCATGTCGACATCCTCATCCGCGGCAGCCATTTTGGCAGCGGCAGGCCTCACGACCCGCTCCTGGTCCCGGGCGGAGTACAGCTCGGTGCCCTGCTGCAGGGCGTGGACCAGGAAGGGCACTGAATCAGCCTTGAAGTCGTCTGCTGCGCGGACCTTGTCAAGATCTTCTGCGAATTCCTGGGTGGTACGTTGTAGGTAGAAGGCGGTGAATTCTTGCCTTGTGGTGGCCGCCATGATGAGTGGGTGCGGATTGCGAGATTGAGTTGTCCGTTTTCTTTTCTTTCCTTATCTATTTTGCGAATGAGTGTTATAATTGGGCGTATGTAGTGCCGAGGCTACAAGATGAATGTAGTTTGGCGTTTGCTTGACTTTGGTTGCTGTAAGTAAGTCTGGGTGAAATTCGTAGATGAGATGAACTGCGAGGTGTTGAGGTGGAAAGTTTTGAGGCGACTACAGTGCCGAAACACAGTGTGCAGTTCGTGTGCCACTTGCCCAGGTGTCTGACCACACGAACCTTTCTAGAAGTCAATTTAAGCTGTGCAGTGATATGCAACTTTGGTTTAAGTAATATTGCGTTTTCTACCTTACTCTGTGAAACATAAGGCTTGCGTAAATAAAGAAGCAATCTAATTAAGCATTGCCAGACCAGTTGGTCTACAACATTGTCCGCTCTCTTCTCCACCTGCCGAGCTCGATCTCTAGCCAGGCTCTGAGCCACAATTAGTATCCACATCCGATATGGTGTAGTGGCCAACATGATGCCCTCTCATCTTCGTGAGAGGTTAGGCATAGCCCCGAGTTCGATTCTCGGTTTCGGAACTTTTGCCTTTTGTCTCCCCCTCTAGACAATATCCGTTCGTGTCTATTAGGTCTGTCCGTCTCCCTGCTTCTCATCTCTGGCCCTACGGTTTCTTTCATCTTTGCTTGTACTTATCTGATCCACATACGCGTCGTTTATGCTGTCAAGTGTCATTTGCTCGAATGCAAATTGACCGGCAAAAACGAATGTGGATGGTCTGCCAGTGCCAGCTTCCCTATTTCGTTCATCACGGCGCAATATGTCACTTGCAAACATCACAGGCCATCATCAATGACCCCTGCAATTACAATCCTGGGTGCCCGGCGCGGCATTGAACTGCCGGCGCGGGGAAGGAAGCCTTGTCCAGCTAGTAACAAAACCCCGAGCCTGGATAACCTTCTCGTCTATGCCTGTCATTATAACGCACACTTTTCCATCGTTCTGAAATAGAGAGAAAAGCAAGCCATCGTCCAAAGTCAAATTATTAGAAGCTCTTCCACATACTCCTTTAACACGCCTTGCCTCGCCTCGCCTGGGCAAACCACTCTCACTCAATGGGTCCTTGCTGACGGCGCCGTGTTCCCCGATGCTTCCCCCCATGCAGGAACTCGTCCTTGGCCACACACTGCCTCCGAATGCAACCTCATACCCCAAACAGCTTGGGATGCAATGCCTGCCATTGCTACCGCTTTCCCCCGCAAACCCCGGATTTGCAGCCCCAAGCGGGGTTGGAGGATCACCTTCCTATCCAGGTTCCCTGCCAGCAGGGCCGATCACCTAGCAACCGCCGTGCCTGAAATCGTCAAGAGCGTCCAATGTCATGATCTACCGCGGGGTGACATACATGTGCCCTTTCAAAATAAGTTTACGTGAGATGAACCGCTCACTCCTCGCTCAGAGTGCTAGTGTAATCAGTCTGCTGGTTTCCTCAAGCTTCACCGCAACTATCAGCCATGTCACATCGGTCGAAACCCCAGGTATCCGAGTTGGCCTTATAAAAGGACGAAAACTTGCATAGGACAAAATATTGCAGCCAGAACGGAGTCTGAAGCATAAGTTCTCTGTTAATAGAAAAGCTTCCGCATGCTGTGTTGTAGTTCTCTGCCATTGCAGATAAACTTGCGGTTTCAAGCATGTATTGGAGCTAGTCGATGCTCAAGGGAAAGAAATAATGGCGGAGGCGAGCAAGTTGCTTTCTGTTCCTCCTTGTAGAAATCCGTCTCATACTCCCTTTCTTATCAATATCATCATCCAGTTCAATATGTTGAGGCCGAGTAAATGTCGAGACATGAGTACGCCATACAAACCTGTTCTGGTTCCAATCTCCAAGTCGGCGTGATATCCTCCTCATCCCCTGCTAAAGTGAACATGCAGCAGCATTCTCTCAACCGCTTACTCTGCCCCCTCCTGCGATCCCGTGGCTCTCCATTCGGCAAAGCCACCGATGTTGGCTAGGTCCTTGGGGGCGTCACATCCGTCTAGGGTTGCTTTCCAATGCCGCAATGATCCATCTTGGCGACCTACGCACTCCTCTCGCTTCCCTCGACCCCGCTTGCTCTCCCCATCAGTGTTCGGCATCATGTGAAAAACAATGATTCAGTTTTACTCTTTGCCTGAAGCAACCAAGCCCCTAGTTGAAGATAACGCAGAAGCAACCAAAGATGGAGCGGGAGAGCAGACTTGGGTGGCGGTTCCGTGTTAGAGGACGTCGACATGCTCCTGATGTTGGTGGTATTGATCCATGTTAGTTAGTACTTTGTAAGAGGGAAGAAGGCATGGGACTAGAGAGAATGAACGATCTATATAAACCCATCATCATCCCCGAATGTCGTGATTAGCCCTTTTGATTGCACAACATCGTTAACACCTAAATAAACATAGCAACAAGCTCGTTCCCTGTCTTACACAACTACTAGTCAACATGCAGTTCAAGACCGTCGCCATCGCTTCCTTCGCCAGCTTCGTCGCTGCCCAGGATCTTTCTCTCCTCCCCGACTGCGCGGTATCTATAATCTTTTGCTCTTCCTCTCAGCCGCTGGAAAACTCCGAGTCTGAGTCGAACCACCATGGCTGACCTGAACCTACCGTATAGCGCCCATGCTTCGTCGACAACTTCCCCGTCTCAGGCTGCACTGACCAGACCGACTTTGTCTGCATCTGCGCGTAAGTTTCCCTGCTCGGCTCCAATTACACACACGTTTCACCGCCTAGTCCAATCGACTGACATGGGGCTGTACCTCGTCCAGTTCCGATGCGTACAATAACGCCGTGACCTCCTGTGTCCTGGGCGCCTGCCAGACCGCCGACGTGTGAGTTGGAAAACAAAATTCCCACTTTCTTCCGGGCCACTCCAAACCGGACAAGACAAAAGACGAGATGAAGTGCACTTGGAGACTGACTTCCCTTCCTAGCCTTGCCGCTCTTGACTGGGCCACCAACACCTGCAACGCCGCTGGCGTGCCCATCTAAAGGGAACTTGAGTCCATCTGGATCCAATCGTTACTAAGTCGAGGTTGTTGATTCTTTGAGAGCCAAGTTTGTGGAGTGTATACATGCAGCCTGCGGACAAACGAAAGCTCCAAGGACTTATATATACGACTCAAAATGAAAAATCATTACAGCCGTGACGGTTGATACCACTGCAACATGATGAACTGCATCTACGTGCAGCTAAGTAAACAGGTGGATCTTGATCTGATGCAGGTTGTTTAGACCCCTTTCTTAGTGAGATGTCACCCACCGCGTCGCCCACTAGCCGTTTTGTGTGATAACCCCTGGCGGCTTACAAAATCTCAAGGCGAGAGAGGTATGATCGTGGTCTGATAGGATGTTATGATCGAAGTTGGGTTCAAGAGAGTGCAAAGTCACCCTCATTATATGTCAAAGTCTACTTAGCATGCAGAGGAGTCCAACAACATTAGCCGTATACTGCTACTGTGCCGCCTATGTCTAATCTCAACGCGAATTGGAAGCCGTTATGATAATGATGATTCAAGTCTCCGACGTGTCATAAGGGTATCTCTAACGTTAAAGAGGAAGAAAGAAGAAAACGCCCCTCTGTCATGCACCACACATGCAATCGCTGTCTATCGCGGCCGTCAGCCGCACATCCACAAATGCAATGCGTCGTTGCTACACCTTCCCATACCCACACTCCTCATTACAAATCGCAGGCGCCGAGCTAGTCATGAATAAGGCTTCGCCAGGATTTTCAAGAACGCCGATAAGACTGGCGTCCGGATTCCTTGCGTACAGCCCAACCTTTGATGGCTAAGACAATGATGACCCAGGCCATCAAGACACCCACAAGACCCATGGTCACGGTGTACATGAACATGGCATCCAGGTTGTAGTGTTCCATGCCCACGACGGTGTCGCTAGCCTGGTCAATTGTAAGCTATGACTCATTCAAACTGGGACAAGCGAGAGGAAACTTACACTCGCCATGAATATGATTCCTCCAGAAATCAACCCAAAGGCAGCGAGAAGCTCTGTGGGAGGTCGAGACGGAAGAACGGACTTGGGAGGCTTCAGGTACATGATGACGTATGTGAAACCGCGCGCGAAGGAGGCACCGGTAAGGAGATTGCCCCACTGCTTGTGAATCATGCTCGAAACCATCGAGTGCTGCGTGTGCGAGCTCATCATGATACCCAGCAAAAGGATGACGAGCGCCGGGATGGGGTTGATAGAAAACTCGTATTGCTTTGGCGGCTGGAAATCCTTCTTCTGCTCTTCCTCATCGTTGTATTGCACAGAAGCAGCATCGATGACTGAAGTATTCAAGAGATCTCGGACGCGACTCGATTCGATAAGCATGCCGACCTGATTTCCACGTGTAAGTCAACTACGCGATGCACGATGCCTTTGATGAGAAACGTACCAGTCCGCCGCCAATGAAGAGCACGGTGATTGAAATGTGCTCTAGATCCTGCGCGCTGTATTCTCCTCCCCAGTTTCCCAGATGCTCGAGGAAGACGTTGGTCGACCCGTAAACGAAAATGAGGGCGCTCTCGACAAACTCGGCCGAGGGCCGCCACGTGCCGTTGGCACGCTTCGGCCGAACGTTCCATGCCTGCCGGGTCAGAGTCAGCAAACAGGGTCTGAACACGGCCGGCAAGGGACCGTGAAACTTACCCATCCGAATTCACCAAAACTGCCGGTCCATCGCCCAAGGGTCAGCAAACCAAGCCAGAAGAAAATGCCGCCCTTGACCCAATGCGCCAGACCACTGAAGATGCCGTTGCCTTCCTGTGCATATTTAGCATCAAAACTCCAGCAGACACGCCAAAAAGACCACTTACGAAAAACCGTCCGTACGTCACGATACCTAGGCACAGGGTAATGAAACCCAGAGGCAGAGCGATCCTGTCGATTGAGTTGTAGACGAATAACAGACCCTTCCATACGCGCGAAGAAATCTTCCCCACGGCCCTTGCAAGGATCGAGTTGGAGTTGGAACTGTTGTTGTCGTTCCTGTTGCTTGGCGTGGGCATGGAAAGGCCATCCTCGAGACCGTCCTCATCCTCGCCGTAGTCTTTGATGTAGGCGTCGGAGCTGCGCGGGGAGACCTCGTTAGACGATGAAGAGCGGGAATGGCTCCGGAGCGATTCGGTACATGGCTCAGTGCCGTGCCCGCTGTCATTGGATAGGCGATACTCGCTGGCATACCGAGAGCTGTTGATGCGGTGGTGCTCAGCCATGGCAGCCGTAGAGACGGGAATGAATGATTGGTATTCGTCCTTGCCGTTCGTTTCGTGGTTGTTGTACCTCAGAGCGCCGGCAACTCTTCCTAGCAGCCCGACCAGGACCTGTGCCAAAAGGACCCAGGTCACCAGCCAACCCAGTTTGTGGTGCGCATTATTGGGGTAGAGATCGGGTGTATTGGCGTTGTAGATTGTTCCTAGGAGAACCCCGAGCCCATTGACGGCCAGGAAAAAAAATTGGAGCGCGAGTGTATATCTGGAGCGGGCGATGGAAAGCATGACAGCTGTGAATCGCGTATAAGTCGGCGTAGGTTTATCGGCCGGAGCTCGGCAAACTTACCAACGGGCAGAACAAACATCCAGGCGAGCACCATGACTCCAATGTGCGCGTACATTAAGCCAGCATGGTCGGCGAGCGCAAAGTACGTGGGCGGATAGCTGTTGGAGTCGGACTTCGGCTCATCTGCGCCGTGGGCCATGCCCACGTCCATCTCCGTGGCGTCGGCTCCAGCTTCGTGAGCGCCGTGGGCAACGACTAAGGGTACAATGCCCAGTGCCACTGCCGTGGTAATCTGACAAGCTAATTGTTTCATCAAGGGCCCTTTTACGAACAAGATGTTCGCTGTCGCAAGAATAATTTCGAACCTATCTCGGATCTATCCAGACAAGGCAAGGTAGGGCGGGAAGTAGGTGTACTGGGCGCTTCTTCACAGCTTCGTATGCAAGGAGAGAGAACAAGAGGGTGAGCTTCACGATGATCGAGAGGGTGGGCGAGAACGAGGCCGGGTCATCTTTATTAAACGGCAGGTGGAGTGGGGTCCAGCGAAGAGAGAGAGACACAGAGAGAAGTAGAGAAGTCGTGCCGGCGCCAGCACCGTAGCGGAGACCGAGAGAAGTCCTTTGCGACAAGATTATTGTCTACACGTGTAAGTGAGGTACAAAGCCACGGCGAAGGGTACGTCAACAATGGCTTTCTGGAGCCGGCGTCGGTACACGGCGATGACATGGCCGGGCCTTGGGTAGGTCCGGGCAGCCAGAAGTCGGATCATACACATGCGCGACCTCCATCTCCATCGAGTGGCATCGTGCAACAAGGTACCAGTGGTGTATTGTACATGCTGCTGAGGGGGTTCTTGAAGTCATCCAACCCAACCCATGTAAGGCGGCCGCTGCGAGAAAGAAGTCACCGGCCGTGGTAAACCGCAAAACCGTAAACGCGAGGCGAGCAGCAGCATGCTCGGGGGCGCGCGTGTAAGTGGTGACAAGGCCAGAAAAATGTGCAGTGCCCGACTCCGAGGGTTCCGAAGGCATCCACGGGCGAGGGTCCGGCCAAATCCAGCATCGTCCAGTGACCACACGTAGTAGAGAGGAATCAGCCGAGACATGGGCAGGTTGGGAACGGCAACTTGTCACCCACCTTGCCCTGTTGACTGGAGGTACTCGAGCCAAGTACCCGCCCACCGACCCGAGCTACGGGAGCTGGCCGGCGCGGGCACGTTGAAAAATGGTCGAGGTGGAAGGTAGCTGAGATTCTACCGGCTTTTTCCTTTTCCCGTCCTGTCCTCTCAGCCGTTACTGATGCAGGTGGGAGAGGGTGGGGTAGAGGGGAGCATAAGCCATGAGGTACACTTCAGAACCTGGGAATCTACCTCAGGTACCCTAGGTAGTGGGGGTGCCGGGTGCCGGGAGCTTTTGCACCAGCTTACCAGTACCCACCTACTCTAAGGTAAGGTGCCCGCGGATTTCGCGGCAGTGACGCCATGAGACCCTGCCAGCAAATTTCGTCACCATTTCATTAGAGAAAGAAGGGTCGCGAGAGGTAGGAAAATTGAGGTAGGTACTTACCTTACCTACCTTAGGGAAAAGAGTGTATTCCCGGAAGCAGTTGGCTCGAAGTAGCGGTTTGTACTCTTGCTCACCCGCTTGCTCACCGACGCTCTTACAATGTACACGCTTACCTAGTCATCCATGTTCACCAGACAAACGTTCCCAGTTCTGCTAACCGAAGGCCTCGCTCTCGGGAAGCATTTAATAAGTACTGTTGATGCGTACAGGGGAATACCACCAGATTTATATCCGAGCACGTCGGTTTCGTCAATAAGAGAAGAAGGGTCAATTTACAGCACACGAAGGTCCTCTTCCCCCCCTCTAGAGCATGGAATCCGTGTCCATGCACCTCTACCTTATGTTACTCTCCCGGGATCAACGGGGGCTACGTAAAATACCTTGGGTGAGTGGGTAGGTTGCCAAGGTAAGGTAGCGACTACGGAGTACAAACCAACACAAAACAAAACGACCTTCTAGGATCGCCAAGCTCATGACAGCCGAGTGCCGCTTCCTATTGTTCGATGCCTTGTTCTCTCTCTTCACCCACGGCTTTAAGCGGCCTGCGAAGTGATTTCTGACCGCCAAGCACGCATACATACGCGTCGATTCGTGGTCCTCGCCCAAGCCATGCGGGCGTCGTTGTCCGAGGTGCGAGACTGCCTCTCCCGCCCACTCAAGATCCTCGAGTAGAGCTCAGTGCATTTGTAAGTCAACAGGCAACGGACCAGCAACGCCAGTGAGGAGTCTCCCTCCATGTCAGATTCTTACATGAACGTGGCGCCATCCAAGGTAGGCTTAAGCCTATATTGGGGGGACCCAAGAGTCTGAACACTTGCATTCCGGCATGGCAGTTGAGTCACACGGGGACGCGCGAGCTAACTTACGCCATCGCAAGAGTCGTAGTATTGTCCCTGCCTTGCGTCGATCTGTGGTGTAACTCCATGGAGATGGTATGCATCGTCCCCCCCCCCCCTTTTCTCAACCCTCAACGCCACTGATGGGTGCGGTAAGCACAGGCCGGCCACGAGCTAAAATCTCATAGGGCAGAAAAATGTTTGTTAATAAGCAGACAAGGCATACAATGCCGGCCGATGCGGGAAGCGCGAGGTACCGACAGCCAGGCTCAACTTAACCCACAAGAACCTAAGAAAAAAAGTTCAAAAAAAAAAAAACTCCTTGTTGGCCGCGCTTCCGAAGCTCCGTCCGTTAGGCAAGCCGCGTCAATCATTTCCCTGACGCCCAGCTCTTCGTCCACCGCAACATCACTTTGCAGCCTTGGAATTGTATCTTTCCCACCTACACAAGTCGGCATCCCGAGCTGGGAGTTGAACGACGCCCGGCGGAAGGCCGAGCCTCTGCCTTCGCGGCGCTAAGAAGTGCAATCCAACGGAGGCGGAGGATAGTCAAAGACTCCGGTCTCCGAGGCCAAATGCGGAATTGTTCACGGCGTGTCTCACTATCCCGGAGTCTCCGTAAATGGCCCTTCCCTGGCGTGCCCGGGTTCTCCTCTCCTATATTGATCATGAACCTGTTGTCAACAGAAACTCGCCAAGACGATTCCGCATGCTGCAGTGGAACTCGCTCTGCTTCTTCATATGGTCTGGCTTGAGGAGGAGGGAGCCAATGACCCCGATTTTTTTCTGTGCCATGTAGTCGGCCTGACGATGACCAACACGAGGTGGTGATGGAAACTTGGTGTGAACCATCCCCTGCCTCACCCGACGCCTGTCCTGATGAATCGCTTCGAATCATCACCTACAAACTCGCAACGTACATAGTAAGCAACACTATGGTCCGCCTTACAGTGACCGCATTATAAATGCTCGAGACCATCCACTCAACTCCATTGGCGGGGCACAAACCAACAAGCAGAGGAAAAGTCGAGAGCGAAAAAGAACATTATTAACCTTAGGAGCAAGACGTTGCCGCAACTCCACCAAAAACCACATGGATGCAAGAACCCACACACCAAATCCACACAGAATCAGTAGTGTACGTGCACATCCTTGCCTCCGATCCGCCAGTCAAACTCCCGATCCCGCCCTCCTCCTTCGCTTCACTGTCCACATGCAACAAAGTACGGATAGGTACCTCGATGTATCTATGTACTGTGCCACCTACTTGTTTCCCTGCTCCCATGACCCGACCGGACCTGAAAGTCGACAACACCAAGGAGAGCCCCTCTTTTCCCGCGGCGTGCGGTCGGCAGGCCCCGGAATCAAGTCGGAGTCCGACCCGCATCGATCACGGGGATCACAAAAGTCTCAAGAACTATCCAAGGTTTAGTTGGAGTTGTTGTTCAGCTTATTAGGTATGATGTTGTTTCCTCGTGCCGTCGAGAGAATGGGACTCTGGGAAATAGTGGCGTCTTCAGTACAGACCAACTCCGGGGACAAGGTAAGTAAGCCGAACACGCAGAACATGGCCACACGCAGAACATGGCCACACGCAGAACATGGCCACACGCCACTTTGCATTGGCATTCCCTCGTTCGAGACCAGCGAGAGGGTGAGATTGTGACATATCACCCACGGGACCAGTCAAGGGACCAGTCGATCGTCCTTTCCAACACCAATAGCAAAAACTACCTTACCCTGGAGTACAAGAAATCGAGGACCTAGCCCATTTGCGCCGAACTGCTGCACCACACCGCCTAAAAACACTGCAGGGCTTGCGTCACGAGATATCGGAACAACGCATCCGTTTCGATGCTACCAAACGTGAGGTAATCCTTGGTGAGACTGTACACTAGACGCAGACGCCTTTTCTAAGGTAGCCTTCCAGGTGGCGCCCCACTGCCATCGTACGTCCCGCCCCGTCACAAGATTCGACTCGTCCGAACCTTCCGAAGGTCTGGTTACTCTGTGTAACCCTGTCGCGAAGCTATCGCAATGCGCCTAGCCCAGTATAGTGTAAGCACCTTTTTCAATCACCGCCCCGAGCTTCCTGGCGTCAATGAAGGGCGAAGCTCTACTTTGTATTGTACTATACGCTCCAAACACTCCTACCTCATTGCGGGAGCGCCTGGCTTCTATGATATGTCCAACCCTTAAGAACGTGCGGTCTAGGCCCACTTGCTCATTGTTCTGGCTTCCCCCGGAGTTCTTGTGGTGGCATGTCATATCACGGCGTGAATCGACCCGACCGTCTTCGGATCCGAAGCTCCGGTTGAGGTTCGCCGCTGAGGTTCGCCGCCCCCGCTTACCCAGTCCTGTATCTCCCTGTGTGGGCTACAACGCCGATCGATCTTTCAACGCCCATCTCTCGTTGCTCTGGACCACCCTTTTTTCCCTTTCGAGCTTGTCCAAGATCTGTGCAACCCCACCACTCGCCGGGATGTGCAGCTCCTCAGGAACATCGTGATAGATGACTTTGACAAGTTCCATGGGTGTCCAGGCATCGGCCGGGCCCTCAATGGCAGTGCCTTGCCTTGCTGTCCTCAGCGTGCGAATAACCTGCTCCTCTCGGGTCTTCCTGTGATTGATGTACTCTGAAATCTTGGACGGACCATTATAAATCACTGGCCCGTGGCCCGGATACGCCCTCCCGCTGAACATGCCTTGCATTCTCTCGAGACTGTTGAGGTAGACGGTCAAGTCCTCAAACACAGCAGTGCCCTGGCCCAAGACATTGTCCGCTGTGAACATGGCGTCCTCCTCCTCCAAGACGAAGGCCATATGGTCAACGGCATGCCCCGGGGTGAAAATAGCGGTAAGGCTGGCCCCATCAACAGTAAACTTCTGGCCCTCAGAGATGTCTGACTGACCCTCCCCAGGTTGATTCTTGAAGACCTCGGAGCTTGGGGACAGCTCTAGCAGCTGCTGGATGCCGCCCTGGTGATCCCCATGCCAGTGAGTGATCAAGACTTTCTCTACCGTCGCCTTCTCCTGCTCCAGAGTGGATTTGACAGCAGCAATCCACGAGGGCATGCCCTCGCCCGTGTCGATGAGTATACGGCGGCTGCCCCGGCCGAGGAGGTATGTGTTGGTACCTTGCAGCGTGAACTTTCCCGGGTTCCCCCCCAGAATGCGGATGCACACTGGGCTGAGGCGCTCGACCTCGGGCAGTGACACTAGTTGTGAAGCCATGTTGGTATTGCGGGTGCGATTCAGATGGGCGATGTATCTAGTCCCAGGAGTAGTTGAGTAGTATGGTTGTCTCAGTCACAAACCGGCTTTGCGATTGCACGGGGAGGGCGCGCCCTGAAGAAGACCGCGCATGTTCTTCAGATATGCGACAGACGAATAGCCGCGACGTGACGCTGGGCTATCAATTTGACGAAGAGACCCAGTTGGGGCTGTGTACGTGAAGACGCAATGGAGGGGTCACGGAAGATGCCGAGGTTAAACGAAATCGAGTAGGTATTACGGATACACCCTGCCTTACCTAAGGTTAAGGTATTTCGAGGCTCAAGACGGCTCTTTGCACGTGGCTTACCTCAGCAAGCCGAAGTCAGAGTCGGCCACTGAATCTCATCAGTGACCTCACTCCTCAGCCTGAGGAGCGTCAGTCCCAGCTGAGCCCCACCAAAAAGTGTTCCGACGGGAGGTTGTGTTGGAATTCAGGGGCATACCTTAAGGTAGGTAAGGTAGGGGGGCGCATCGGTACCTAGGCGGATAAGCAAAAGCTGTTATCGATAAGAAACCGAACCCGATCAGGTGCCGATAAGATTGGATTTACTGCCTGTTGGCCGCTGGCACCACGGAATCTACTCAGGTTGTCTGTGACGGCGCCAGCTCCAACATTTACAACTTCCAGGGATTGTTTGTAAGGCCCTAGGAACTGTGCCTCCTCGAAGATCCTGAATCTCTTTGCTTTTTGCCTATGAAAACCGTCGCAGGCTGGACCCTTTGATTCTGCTTCGGCACCACCAACTTCGGTCCGTCCACGGCCGCGAATTCGAAGCGACAGCCCGCGCGGACCTTCTCGACCTTCGGCTTGCGCCATCAAAGCTCACCCACCCACTCACTCTCTGGGGAGCTTTACCAACACGGCGGGAAATCGCCCCTAGCCGACCATTCAAATACACCCTGCCAACTTCAGCAACATTGGCTCGGCTATCCAGGCTAGTAAGTTCCATTCTCACTTTGCGTCCCCATCTCTTGTATTCTAATTGATCTATTCATTGCGACCAATTCGCGGCTAATAGTTGATGTCCAGTTGTGCTCCCCTGCTGCGTTGGCCCGACTCCGGCCGATCCTCGACACCTTCCTTCCCCATCGTCAAGATCACGAAAATATCTTCTCCATTTTGGATCACTTCCTGCCTCGATTTTTTCTGCGCAACAGCAACATCAGCGTTGATTCCTTTGCCAGGTGCTCCAGTGCAAGAGCAAAATAGGCTCAAGAGCAAGACGACCGACCGCATAATAAACCACGAGCACCATCTACAACACACAAGATGTCTGCTCGACCAACAACACCAATGTCGCCAAAGACTGCCAAGGTCAAATCACCCCTCCCGGGCACACCCGTCTTTGGTTGTGGTTAGTAGAATCCAACTCTAACTTGCCTCTACGGCAACAATGGCCCAGGGTCAGGCTGACAGACACGACACACATAGAACATATCCAGCGGCTGTTCACCCAGTCTCAAGAGGGCATTACTCAATCTGTTCACCACTACAAGATGATTCTTAAGAATATCTTCGAGCAGACACCCGTTGTTCCGCAAACCTTCAAGAACTCGGATGGTCAGATCATGACATCCCTTACATCAAACTACCTCTGCCTACAATGCTCCACCATTGTTAACGAAGAGGATCGTCTAAAGCACGGCACAAAGAAGCAGCATCGCTTCTGTATGTGACCCCTTACCGATACAGACGTGGATCTCCTAACAAATTTAGATGTTGACTCAAGGAGTGGTGCCCTCTACTGCCAGATATGCGATGACCTCGTCTGGGACCCCACTCTCGAGGAGCTTCGTGTGCGCAAGATGGGAACTGGAACATTTTCAAGTAAGCGGTAACCTCTCATGAAAGCATCACCTCCCTTCCCAATTGCGACTTATATCACACCATATGTACTTGAACCTGGGCTACCTTACTAAGTGCTAATCACTATTCTAGACCGGAAGAGAAAGCACGATGAGATGTTCTCAGATGGCGTGAAGGACAGCACTGCAAGCAACCCAGGCTACATCTCCAACAACACCACCGCTGCCTCTTGTAAGGCTAATGGCCTGCGCGGAATCTACAACGCCGGAGCAACATGCTACCAGAATGTGGTGCTGCAAAGCTTCCTCCACAATCCCCTGCTGCGCAACTTCTACCTCAGCGACGGCCACCAAAGTACCGACTGCCAGCTGACAAACTGCCTCAGCTGTGCGATGGACGACATGTTCCAGGACTTCTATGCTGTTGAGAATACTAACGGATTCACGGCGGCTAGTATTCTGTCTGGGTTCTGGATCTCTGAGAAGAAGGCCTTTGAGAACCTCGTCACCACCAAGGAACAAGATGCTCACGAGTTCTTCCAATTCCTCGCGGAAGAGTTGCATGAGCGGAACGGAGATGGTAAGCGTCCCGAGACTGGAAGCGAGCACACCTGCAACTGCATCATCCACCAAACATTCTACGGCAAGCTCCAGACTTCCACCACTTGCCAGAACTGCGGAGGAGTTACCAATGCGGTACAGTCATTCCTGGACCTCAGTCTCGGGCTGGAGAACCTCTCCCACAAGAGGAAGAAGGGGGGCCAGAAGGTGCCTAGTCTGACACTACAGGAGTGCTTGGACGAGGAATACGTCAAGTCAGACAAGTGTGAGTATCGATGCCACAACTGCAGCTCGATGCAGCAGGCGAAGAGAGCCACCAGCATCAAGCGTTTGCCGAACGTTCTTGCAATACAACTCAAGGTATGTCATTGAGTGATCAGGATGTGTCTGTCATTGGCTTACAACTTTGATCAGCGATTCGAGTACAAGCAGGGCCGCCATGACCGCGCATCAAAAATCGAGACAGTCGTCAACTTTCCCCTACAGCTCAACATGCTGCCATACACCACCAGAGGCAGAGGCGCGGACCCAAAGGATGCCTTTGAGCTCGGAAGATCTTGCACGTACGATCTCCTTAGCGTAGTGGTCCACGTTGGCGAGATTGATACGGGTAAGTGAAAAGAATGAAACTGTTTGTACACCGAGACTGATCGAGCACCCAGGCCACTACGTATCATACTGCCGAGTAGGCGACCAATGGTTCAAGTTCAACGACCACAAGGTCGAAATGGCGACAAAGTCCGACGTCATGAGCGCTCAACCCTATCTGCTTTTCTACATCATTCGTTCACTTTCATGACCAGTCTCGCGAGAGAAAACGAACGTCTCACGCCAGCCACGCAGTGTATAACATTAATGCCACCAGGTCAAGGGACAAGCGGTGACCTGCCGAAAGCATGAAAAAGGGGCCAGGGGCGCTTTGGAGGGGGAAAGGGGCGACTGAGAATTAGCATCTTGTCGGCGTTGGAAACAAACATGGGGATTGCATCATCTTGGGCCCTGTGGCAAGCAAACAAAATCCGCATTTTGGTTGGCAATCCAAGAAAGCCATCATTGTATAGAACAGCGATCAAACCAGCGTGTGTACTTTCTCTTGAATCTCGTCAACCGAATCATTTGCCACTTGGCTCACCAGGCCAGGCTATCGTCATGAGCTAGCTATGTGGACGGAAGGCCGCGTCGCCAATACATGCTTCCCGGTCCACCTTTATCTCAACGTCGCCTCCCGCCATGTCCAGTCTCTGCACTCAAAGTTTGCATAACAGTAGAACTCGTTGCTGAGCCCCCGCGAGTGGCTCGGCTCGTATGTGACTGTCCTGACGCCGACGGGCTTGTATATCTTATTCACCAATTCTGCCATGCGTTCGCCAGTGCTGACGATGACGCGGCCCTTGAGGGCGGCGTCTGGCTTCATCATCCACCGGACCGTCATCGCGGCTAAAACGTCAACTATTAGCATGGGACGTTCTTACAGCAATCACATTCTGCATAGATGGGCTTACTCTTCGTCTGGCAGTCCTCGCTCAGGAAGGGCGGGTCGGCGATGATGCGGTCTACACTGCCCTTGAGCTCGCCTAGAGAGAGGGTTGACGTTGAAGTTAGCATATCTGCTTCAAGCGTTTTTGTGCGACCATCTCCGATTTCAATCACAAAAATGTACCTGGAAGCTTGAAGGGCTGCATGAAGTCGTAAAAAACGAATTCGGGGAAGACATTGAAGCGCAGGTCGTGCTCCAGAAGAAACACCTTTGGCCGAGCTTCGCTCTCGTCTCGCGCAGTCTGCCAGCAGTCACTCGTCAGTGATTGAACCAAGATGGCGGCGAATGGTCGTATAAAATCTTACCAGAATGTTATGCAGGGCAACAAACACGCTGGGCGCAGACACCATAGCAATCGTGGTGTCCTCATCAGCGCCCTCGAGAAGTTGCCTCGCGAAGAAATCCGCCGTCTCGTCGGAGTACTAGCCACAGACGGCTGAGTTAGAATTACATTCGAGAAAACTGCAAGAGGGATCAACGCTGTATCTGACAAGTCCGTACCCAAAATTGCGACTTGTTCCAGTCCTCCATGAACGCCGTCATGGATATCGGCGCCTTCTTGGCTGCGTTCGCTTCAGCCAGCTCCTGCAGTCTCTCAAACTCCTTCTGACGGGCGTCCTCCTCGGCCTTGAATTCGACCAGCGCCGCCAACGCGTGCGAGGAGAGTGTGCTTGCGTTGATAGTGTCAGTCTTGTGCCGCTCGCCGGTGGAGACGTTTTGAATTTCATTTTTTTTTGGCTCCTGAGGGGGGTGGCTTACATAGGCTCGTCGTCGCTGTCCGAGATGCTCATCTCGACTGTAGATGCGATCGGAAGTCTAGGTTTTGTTTTTGCTGAGAAAATTTTGCCACGCAAAATTAGCTACAGGAAAGCAGAGTTTGAGATAACGACTGCAGTGACCAGGAGGCTAAAAATGTAGGAGGAAAAAGAGTCGTAATGTAAGGCGAAAGAAAGTACTGCTAAGTCTGTGTCAAGGACCCAGTTTGAACCGTCAGAAACTACACGGTTTCAACGAATCAGCTTTGGCATTGCAGACCTCACGACTAATGCCAACACAACACAGCATTAGCCACAGTAAAGAAATTCGCACGTTCAAGAAATATATTCAAACTGTACATGGATTCCTCGACTTTTGCAACTTTGTCTAGCTGACTACTTATATACACTCTAAACGACTTGCTTGCCCAGAATCAATCCCCTCCAACAAATAAAACCCAGGCTTACTGGTCGTCGAGAACGTGCAAGTACTTGCGCTCCTCTTTCTTCTCCTTCTCCGTCGCGGGGGGCAGGTCGTAGAAGTTGGCACTGCGGAAACCTTGCTGTAAGGGAGTTAGTGTCTGTCACTACTGCAGTACAAATCGCGGACATCCTTACCAGGTAGTGGTATGTGAACTTGCTAATGTCACCGGGCTCAATGCCGAGGTCCTTGAATGTCTTGGCTGTCTCATCAATCTCCTGGTCGATAAACTCACGCTCGACCTCGTCGGCAGACATGGTGTGCCACCAGAGGTACTTGTTCAGGAGACCGGCGATAGGCTTGAGGACAGATTTGGGGAGGTTAATATGGCGGCGCTTCTTGAAGATTTCACGGTCGGCAAACTCGGCAATCTCAGCCATCGAGTACTCTTGGGGGCCGTAAAGCTCGTAGGTCTGACCTGCTGTGCTGTCATCGTAGAGCATGACCTCGAGAGCCTGGCCGACATCGATGGACTGCAGCTATTAGGCCTTGTGCTGGGCAGATATCATTACGAACAGCTTACGTGGACAGGTCTGAATCTCTCCTGCATGTTATTGGCAGTGAAGAGGTTCATAACGTTGGCGAGCTTCAAGAGGAGGTTGTCCTCGAAACCAAAGACGGGCGCCGGCCTCACGATGGTAGTCTCGGGATAGATGCTGCGAGCGACTTGCTCACCACGGGCCTAATGAATGGTCAATTGGGAGGTTGGCTCTGGAGACCATGATTGGGCTGACCTTTGTGCGGAAGAACTCAGACGTAGACTCGAGGTTGGCATTATAACTGGAGACGTGAATAAAACGGTCGACATCGTACTTGGCAACAGCCTCGGCTATCCGCTCGGTACCCTCAACATGGACATCCTCGAGGGAGAAGTTCCTAGGCGCTATCTTAGCCATCGATCTTGAGGGGCCAGTCGCTTCGTAAACCTACTTGGTGGGGTAGTCGCGGCCGACCAGGTTGTAGACAACGTCCGAATGTCTGACGCTCTCCTCGATCGATTGGGTGTTATGGAGGTCGTACTCCTGTAGTCATATCATCAGCCTCAGCTGTACTTTAGTCCTCCGCGTCGGAAGGGAGACCGTACAATGAAGACAACTCGTCCAAGATCACCCGAAACCTTCAAATGTCGCTTGGCCATCTCCTCGCGGAAAGGGATGACAACAGTGCATCCTTGACGAGCTGCAGAACTCGGTCAGAATTGAAGCAGCGATTTGTGGTGTGTCTGTTCGTACCAAGCCTGTTCACGATGTACCGTCCGACCTGGCCCGTTGCGCCGAAAACCGTCGCAGTGTGTCCTGTACCTCGATCTTAGAGAAAAAGTCCCGGATTGGACTGCGTAGTTGATGCATACCACCGAGAGAGTGTCTTTATTTGAAAACAAGTCAGAAAATCTCCCGAGAAACGCAATTGATCGGTATGCCTACCTTCCGCCCTGGGTTCGCAGGATGGGCTTGCCGGTACGAGTGATGGCAACATCAGAAATGGGCCTGCTTCTCAAGGCATTGTGCGCAACCCTCTGGGTCGACCGCACGGCGGTTTGTAAGGAGGCCATTGTCAGATATCGAGAATGCAGCAAATTAGTGCGGTGGCCTCCCAATTGACTGGCAACTAAATGCTTCTTTACCTGCTAGGAGCTCCAAAGTCGCGAGCTTCATCCAGAATCCCGGACGCAAGGTGAGCGGGTCACGTGGAAGCAAGTGCACGGCCCATCCCATGGTCATAGGATCGGAAAAACAACTATTGGGTGCCGTCCAGATGAAAGCCTCCGATTCGGGGTTGCGCTACGTACCTCTCTGTGCCTTCCCTACCTTCGCTGACTGACCAGGCTGCTAGCTAGCCGCGTTATGTGCATCGCCCCTCCGGAGCTGCTCCTGCATGCATCCATCAACACATTCACTTGATTCCAGACGAACTCCCCGGCATCTAGCACGACGAAAGTCCACCCCCCGAGCTTCAATTTATCTGCCTCTGTAGCTGCTCTCTGAGGAGAGACGCGCGACCTTATCTTTCACACCCGATTCTGTCGTCATCCTGGCCCTCTTCGAAGCTCCCCCTCACGGACCGTGCTCCAAACTCGACCTCCCACCAAGATGAGCGCCGACGCAATTCCCGACTTTCTGGCGGAGCAGCGCGACGAGGCCCCCGAGGAACTCCAGCATCTCGTTCTGGAATTCGAGAACTACTGGGAGCGGAAGCTCTGGCACCAGCTTACCGATGCCCTCGGCCAGTTCTTCAGTCACCCGGGCAGCAAACCCCAGCGGCTTTCCTTCTACAAGGTCTTCATTCTCAAGTTTGCGGATAAGATCAATCAACTCAAGCTTGTCGACCTGGCCTTAAAGGCTGCTACAGAATGCAGTGGTAAGGCATTGTTATACAGAGAAGTGTGGAGAAGCTGGGAACTGACGAGGTCTCGATAGATGACGAAGAGCGCCTTACATTCCTCCAAGGCGTTGCGAAGAAGGTGGACAACGAGAACTCACAAGACGCCCTTGTGTACGCTTCTGTTGCAGTGGCTAGAGTCAAGTTGGATTTGGAGGATATGGATGGCGCCCGAAAGGACCTCGACACGGCCGAGAGAATACTGGATAGCTTCGACTCCGTTGAAACGATTGTTCACGCAGCGTTCTACGATGCGAATGCCAACTACTACCAGGTAAGTTCCTGTCCGTCTTGCTTTTGTGGGACATAAGCTGACATGGGCCCCAATTTGAGCGCAAGATGGAGTTCGCAGCCTACTACCGCAACGCCCTTCTCTACCTCGCCTGCATCGACATCAACTCCCTGACACCCCAGGAGCGACACAGAAGAGCATTGCACCTCAGCATCGCCGCATTAGTCTCCGATACCATCTACAACTTTGGTGAGCTGCTATTGCACCCCATCCTCGACGCCCTCAAGGGTACACAGGACGAGTGGTTCCGCGACCTTCTCTTCGCTTTCAACCGTGGCGACCTTCAAGGCTTCGAAGCTCTTTCGGCTCGCATGCGGGCCAAGCCGTTGCTCGCCGAGAACGCCGGCCATCTTCGCCAGAAGATCTACCTCGCATCCCTCACCGAGGCCGTCTTCCGCCGGCCGCCCCACGACCGCGCCATGTCCTTCGCCGATATCGCTCAGGAGACCAAGGTTCGCCCGAACGAGATTGAGCACCTGATTATGAAGGCCTTGAGCTTGGGTCTCCTGCGCGGGAACATTGACCAAGTCGACGAGGTGGCGCACATCACCTGGGTCCAGCCGAAGGTGCTTGACATGAAACAGATTGGCAACATGCGTCAGCGGCTGCTCGATTGGGACTCGCAAGTCAACCAGCTCGGTAACTGGATCGAGACTGCCGGCGGTGATGTGTGGGCGGCTTAGCGGGCAGCAGAGGATACCAGGTTATGGGCGGAAGAAAGATGATGCCTGTAGTAATGGTCTACGGTGACGGCGGAGACCAATGTACACCACTAGACTTAGAGGAATGGCAATCGGCCTCAACAAAGGCCGTTATGATTTTGATGACAATGATATTGCCCCTCTGCGGATGCGCTAATCCTATTGCTCGACCGTTTTGCAAACGTCGTCCCCTCCACTCCGCCAGGAAAACGCAGACAGACAGAATATGTAATCAGACTTTTAACTAAATCATACACTTTTTGACTTGGCTGTAGGCTGTCCGAGCACAATGACGGATCCCATAAGCCATGCAGGCCACCACACACCCCAGATGATGACAGGCGTGTACATGCCCCAGACATCCCAACCGAAAGCCGCTTCCTTCAGGACCTCGCCGATGCTGATATCAAAGTATGACGAGACAGAGTACAGCGCCGCCGTCGGAGAGGCGAGTTGAAGGAAGGCGGCGCAGGCCCAACGGACGGCCGCGTGGCTTGGCCAGGGTCGCATGAAGGACAGTGGGCTGGCCATGACGCCGACGAGGAAGGCCAGAGAGAAGTTGAGGGTTGCCAGAGCAGAGAGGAACATACCGAGCAAGAGGAGGGAGAAGGACTTGATCAACTGGTATTGCTGGACGGTGGGGTTGTAGGCGGAGGTCAGGAGCGAGGAAATGAAAAAGGGCAGGGCACAGTTGGTGAGTGCGAAGGCTGTGTATGCCAGAGCGAGCATCTACGGGGTTGAAAGTGAGCATCGTATCTGGCTGAGCCGGGGTGGGTAGAGCTTACTCTTGCAGGCATATGATTGAAGACGTACAATGGCACGACGCCGAGAAACTGGCAGACAGCTACGAGCCCCAGGGGTAGGAACAAATCACGTTCTACGGCCGGGACGGAGATAGGTGATGAGCTTGCGCCCTTTGATGTTACGAGTAGCTCCTGAGACGACGTGCCCTCAATCTCGGACTTGACCACCGTGCCGGGTGTAGCTGATGACTGATCCTGATGACCACTCTTCACCCAGAGGGAGATCGCGGTGATGGTAAAGCTGGCGGCCAGAATCATGGCACTCGGTAGGTACGTGCCGATGCTCACAAACCTCTCCTTGTGCATAAGGAGGTAGAAGAAAAAGCTCTGATGGAGGTGTTCTAAGAGGTTGTTTAAACTGCGGAAAGTTCCTTCGACCAGGCGACCCATCCCCATTTCGTCGTGCCACCCCTCGCCAAATGGCTGCAAAGTGACGGCGTCAACGTGATAGGGGATGAAGCTGCTGTGCGGGCCAGAGGCGTGGCCTAGCCCCTGGTTCAACATGCCGCGGAGCATCGTGAGCAGCCGGTCCCGGTACTTGTCGGAGTGCGACCACATCTCCTGAATGGCGGTGCCCATACCCATCTGCCCACCCGCAATATTGACAACAGAGTTGATAAGGTCCAAGTTCGGTAGCTGGCCGTTGATGCCATCATAGATGATATGAATGGACTCGAAACGGTGTTCTTGCGGGTAGTCGATGGCGATAGCGCCTTGTAAAGCGCCAGATTTCAGTGGAAGGGAATTTACACGGGAGGAGTCGTGCGAGTCGTGGTATGCGTCGACCCATGCCTGGGTGCCCGTCCTGCTATCTGGGGGGATGACGAGGATGATATCCTTGGACCAGAGTGACCATCGCTTGAAGTACCGGGCCAGTGTAAGCGCCAGTGGAAGGCCGTTCTGGTTGAACTTGTCGTCCACCGTCTTCCAGGCCGCAATGAGCACAATCGCCTCCGTCGCATCGCCGCGAGGAGCTTGAAGGATGGCATAGATGTTCTCACCGGTGTATACATCACCAGCGGATTCGTACGTATAGTTTTGGCGGCCGACCTTCAAGCCGACACTCTTGAGGATGCCCTCAAGCTTGTCGTTGATTCTGTAATGACACTATGGTTAGCCCGAGAAAAAGCGCCACCGCGAGGGCATTTTTGTGGTACACCTACTCGTAATTGGACTTGTCCCTGACCGAGTTGACCTCATGCTTGTACGCCCGCAGTACATGCTGATCGCTCCCACCGAAATACGTGTGCACTTGGCCCGGAAGCAGTGCATTCTCGGAGATGTAGGTTCGTCGGGAATAGTCGCTTAGAGGCAAGAGAAATAGCCATGCGATGCCGCCTAGGATACATGCCAACGAGATGTAGGGCGGGAGCTTGAGGATGCGCGGATCACGTCGCAATGATAGTGCCGAAGCTGGATAAATGCGATGCCAGGTCAGCCGCAACTGAACCAAAGTTAGGGTGGACCGAGGGGTCTTTGTTTCTTCTCACATATTAGTCGCGACATGACGGAGACTGTTCTGCTGCAGCTTCCGGAAGCTGCGCAATCGCACAATTAAGTCGTCTTTGCTGAGCGGTGACTTTCCCAAAGGACGAACGTCATCTTCCAAGGTGGTTTGTAAGGGCGACCCGGGGGATGGAGGTGCAGCAGCGTTGGAAGTGCAAGTGGCAGGGGGGGCCATATATTCATTTATCCGGGCGCGTCCCCTCGCGTTCCCGAGTTTAGCTGGAGCTAAGGTACGCCTAACTTGCTGGCAACTTGGTTCCATAACCCCCTGGCACAACAGGGGTGACGAGCATGTCACAGGGCAATACGTTCACCACATGTTCACCTCGTGTATTCGATGCGCAGATAAATTTCTTTCAATTTGGCATGGTAATTTGGTTTGCATTGCTGACCTCACCGCACTCCGGACCCTGGACGGGTTTGTTATGAAGAGGTTGCAAGGATGCCAACTTTTGTATTAAATCTACTGGGTAAGCAATGGAGTCTTAAGATCTCTTAGACATCTAGCGCCTGCTCTTCCTTCCAACCATGCTTTGCGCTTGCATGCAAATGCCCCAGTACAAGCCCGTAGCTGTTAGACATATAGAAATCTTTAGATCGTTTGTTGGTTTAAAAAAGGACTGCAATACACAGCGGAATCTGCCCACCTTGTACACATGCCACTTTTGCCTGCATTATAACTCCAAACTCCGACCAAGGTGCAAATGCAAACTAACTGGGCAGTGTGCCACGTATTATTACAAGCTCTGACGCACAATGCATTTATGGTCCAAGTCGCTGTGTCGTACCAACGAGAGCTATCGGTGCGCTACCGCCGCCGGCATGGCTGTTGGTGGGCAGGACGCCGAATCGACCGTAAGTCTTCTGGTCGACACTCACGTAGTGTGGCAGGCGGCCTAGAAGATTCAGCTTCGATTCAACCCATCGCAGGGCCTTTTCGGGCGGGCTCAGGAACTTGAGGTAGCCGAGGCCGACTGGAGAAAGAATCTTTGTCAGTCATGCCTTCTAGCAGGACAGGAAACAGCTGTCTGTCTTACAGAGATATCCAACCAAGACACCGCAAAGATGGCCAAGCAAGCTGGTACCAGGAACGAGCGCCGTAACCACGAGGATGAGGATCAGGGGGGTCGTCCAAGTAGGAATTGAGTATGTCGCAATCGTCAGGTGGGGGTTCGTCTTGTAGGTTCGAATCGCCTCGATGCCCAGGAGCAAAAAGACCCAGACGCTGCACCATGGCCTCTCGTTAGTCATCCCCTAGCTTACGAATTCCCCTTTCTAGTCCTTACCTAGCTCCCATCACTCCGACATTGCCCTTGAATAGGAATCGTTCGATCAAGACGTAGAGAACAGCCGGGATCGTGCTGAGAGCTGCAACGGCTTAGTCGACGTCACTTCTAGAGAAGACCGGAGGATCTTACGGCCAATGAAGAGCGCTATAGACGTCAATGTGCCAAATTCCGCCTCGAATCGCTCCATCAACGGTGCTAGAGCCGCTAGGTTCATAGCCGTGTGGATGAAGTTCACATGGACAAAAGGAAATGTATTCATTCGATACGCTGTAGCCAGAACTAATTAGTATAAATGTGCCTATACAGGACCGTCTGGCAGGGATGGGGACCAACAAGAGGTAAAGGACAACTGGTCAGGAATCAAGGCGCCCCATTGCCTCACGTCCCAAGCTTTCTGCAGACCTGCGAACCACGCGGCGATGATCACGAACAGAACGATACGCGTGAAAAGCGGCAGCCGGAAAATGTACGAGCGAGCCCGTAGGGTGCTGAAAGACGTTATGTTGGAAGCCATTGCGCCCGCCATCTCCGGGATTCACGGGATCCAGAGGGATCAAGACTCGAGCGGTAGATTTGCCGTTGTACAAGCACCAGTGCCTCGATCCAGGTCGAAAGTGGTTCTAGCGATCAGTCCGGTCGACAGCGTAAGGCAGCTGAGTCGGCTTGATTTGGCACCAGGCAGGTGGTGTGTTTTGCTACACTTGGGAAATTATAGACAACCTGTCGCATGCTCCCGGTCCACTCGGACCTCTTCGGGCGAACACAAAAATGTTAGATAAGACCCCAGTCTCTGAATACCCACCTCTTATCATCACGTGCCCGTTATGGCGCGACAGCGCCGTTACTTGCGCAGTGGCCTTGTGTGCTTGAATCTTGATAAGGCAGGTGTCAATGGTCAGCGGCACAAACGCTTGACAATTCGAAGTACTACAACATCTTCATGGAATTCCTCTCGCACCGTCGCACTGCACTCAGGATAGAGAAAAATTGTTTTGAACGTTTCAAATTTGTACATACTAGGAAATCATGGCCTACATGACATAAAAAAACAAAAGTCCCAGAGGTATTTGCCCGACCAAAACAAAGGGCATAACGCGGCCATACACTTTAGTTATACCGACCGACACCCCAGAACATGCTACAATAAAAGAGGTACGCCTACACCGCCTAACCACGTATCGCCCTGACCCGTATCGCTAACGTTACATTGTCCATTTATGACTTGCCAGCGGACTTGGCCATGGTGTTGAGAGCGGAGCCGTTCTTGAACCACTCAATCTGGGGGGCGTTGAATGTGTGCGACAGCTTGACCTCGAAGGACTTGCCATCCTTGGGGTGAACGACCATGGTCAAGGGCTTGCCGACCTCGAGTTCAGTGGCGAGAATGTCGACCTTGTCCTCGGGTCTGATCTTGTCGTAGTCGGCGGGGTCTGAGAAGGTAAGAGGAAGCATACCCTGCTTCTTCAGGTTGGTCTCGTGAATACGAGCGAAGGAACGAGTGATGATAGCAAGACCACCAAGGTGACGGGGTTCCAAAGCAGCATGCTCACGGGAAGAACCCTCGCCGTAGTTCCAGTCACCAATAACAACCCACTTGATGCCCTTGGCCTTGTAATCACGAGCAACGGCGGGGACGGCGTCCCACTCACCGGTGGTGAAGTTCTGGATCTTATTGGCCTCACCGTTGGCCTCGTTGATGGCACCAATCAACATGTTGTTGGAGATGTTGTCCAGGTGACCACGGTACTTCAACCAGGGGCCGGCCATGGAGATGTGGTCAGTCGTGGTCTTGCCCTTGCACTTGATCAGAATTGGGATATCCTGGACGTCCTTGCCATCCCAAGGTTGGAAGGAGGTCAGAATCTGAAGACGGTCGGAAGAAGGAGAGACCTGCACGTTGACAGTGCTGCGGTCGGCAGGAGGGGCCTGGTAGGTGTTCTGGCCGGGGTCGTATCCGCGGCTAGGGAGGGAATCTCCGGAGGGAGGCTTGAGCATGAACTCGTTGCCGTCCTTATCCTTGAGCTTATCGGTGAGGGGGTTGAAGTGCAGGCTGCCGGCAACGGTCATGGCAACGACCATGTCGGGAGAGGCGACGAAGGAGTGGGTCGCGGGGTTACCGTCGTTACGGCCGGTGAAGTTACGGTTGTAGGAAGAAATGATGGAGTTGGGGGTGCCCTTCTTGACGTCCTGACGATCCCACTGACCGATGCAGGGACCGCAGGCGTTGGCAAGGACAATGCCGCCGTACTCCTCGAAGGTCTGGAGCTGACCGTCGCGCTCAATGGTGGCGCGGATCTGCTCGGAACCAGGGGTGATGGTGAAGATAGCCTTGGACTTGATACCGTGGTCGAGGGCGTCGCGAGCGATAGCGGCACCGCGGGTCATATCCTCGTAGGAGGAGTTGGTGCAAGATCCAATAAGACCAACCTTGAGCTCCTCGGGCCAGTTGTTGGCCTTCACAGCCTCGCTGAACTTGGAAATAGGGGTAGCCAGATCGGGGGTGAAGGGACCGTTAATGTGAGGCTCGAGCTCGGACAGGTTGATCTCGATGAGCTGGTCGTACTCGGCACCCTCGTCCTCGCGGAGCTCCTTGGCATAGATTTGCGCGAAGTCACCAATATCCTTACGCTTGGTGGCAGTGAGGTACTTGTGCATAGACTCGTTGAAGGGGAAGAGGGAGGTGGTGGCACCGATCTCAGCGCCCATGTTGCAGATGGTTCCCATACCAGTGGCAGAGAGGGTGTCGACACCAGGGCCGTGGTACTCAACAATGGCACCTGTACCACCCTTGACTGTGAGGATACCAGCGACCTTGAGAATGATGTCCTTGGGAGTGACCCAAGGGTTCAGTGCGCCAGTGAGCTTCACACCAATGACCTTGGGGGCCTTCAGCTCCCACGGGAGGTTGGCCATGACATCAACAGCGTCAGCACCACCGACACCGATAGCGCACATACCAAGACCACCAGCGTTGGGAGTGTGAGAGTCAGTTCCGATAAGAAGACCACCGGGGAAAGCGTAGTTCTCGAGCACAATCTGGTGGATAATACCGGAGCCGGGCTTCCAGAAACCAATATTGTACTTGGCGCAAGCAGAGGCAAGGAAGTCGTAGACCTCCTTGTTGATGCCAACGGCACGGGCAAGATCCTTAGAACCACCGATCTGAGCCTCGATCAAGTGATCGCAGTGAACAGTGGTGGGATTTGCGACGGAGGGCATGCCAGCAGACATGAACTGCAGGATAGCCATCTGGGCGGTGGCATCCTGGCAGGCAACGCGATCGGGACGGAGCTTCAGGTATGACACACCACGCTCGATCTCTTGTCCGTGGGGGTCGTCCAAGTGGGAGTAGAGAATCTTCTCAGCGTAAGCCAAGGGGCGGTTGAGACGCTGGCGAACGATGGACAGGTTCTCGGACATCTTCTTGTAATTGATGAAGTTGCCCTCCTCGTGAATGTTCTGCTTGACCTGTTTGCGGCGAGTCAGCACCCTTGTCAAGTCGAGCAAACACGTACGCGATGCCAAAGACGCATCTGACGATAATGTCCAGATAGGCCGTCCCGTCGAAGACGTTTTTCTGGGGGATTAGGGGAGGAATTCCGTACCTTGCGGTCAAGAGGAGAGTCAGAAACGGTAGCCATACGGCGCATTCCTAGACTGGCACTGGCGGCGGTACGGCTCCGGGCGAGAGAGCCCAGGAGCTGTCGTGAAGCCAACATGGTTGGTGTTGACACTGCGAACAGCGATGAGACTGATCAATTGAGATGGAGTGGAGAGTTGTCAGAGCTGTGATAATGCTCGTAACAGGTATCTCAAGTGCCCTGGCCTATTGAAGGGACTTCGTAAGTGATACTGGAGGGGAGGGAAAGAATATTAAGAAGAGGAAAACAAAGAGGTGGAGAGGATTTCCGACGAGGACGAGAAGTAGTAAAAGAAAGGCGGCAAAGCAAGCCAGGCCTAGGTCTTTCCGGATGGGGGTGGCAGTAAAAACTCGCACCTTCGTTCCCGATCACACTCACTTTTGCCCTCTTTCACCTCCCTCTGCGGCAGCTTTGGGGGGGTGGCCACGGTGCGTGCTCGGCTCAAATTGGGCGCAGGCCGTGTGGTTGCCGCGCTGCTGTGTGGACTGTGGAGAAGATGCTGAGGAACAGGGTCAGCCAAAGTGGGCTCCTCGGCTATGACGAAGGCGACGGCGGGCCAAAGGACGAATCAGCGAGATTGGATTATTTTTCACTCAGCAGCAAAAAGCAGCAACCAGACTGAAGTGGGGCCATTTTTCTTCACTTTCACGGCAACAACGACAACCTCAGGAAAGTACATTCCGAATGTACACCCCATTTGTCCCCGCCCCTGCTCCATATCGCGCTGTCTTCCCTGACCCGTTGTAACCCCTGTCCAAAGCCACATGTACCATCTCTCGAGTCTTTCCCTCTGCATCCCAAGACCTTTGCATTTGTATCACCGTTTCGGTCGGCCCCTCCATCGCGCGCAAATTCCATTTTCGTACCACGATGTACTTGGATGAAGTTCATTCACCCGCTGGTTCATTTGGCCCACGAGTAACTGACCTTGGCCTGGCCCAAGATCGAGAACGCGGAAAAGAAACTAATGAGGCGCGGCACGACAAGAACAGATGCGAATACCGCGGCCGGACAGCGTCTCCTACGGCACACGGATATAGTGTACATAGTACGGTACGGCAACGGCCAAGCTGCCGACAGCGAATGGCAAGCGGCCGGCGAAAGGAATCAAGGTGCAAAAACGTCACTGATAAACATTCCCATGACATCTGTTTGCCCTGCCATGCCGTCACTCTGGAGCTCGTTGGTGTACTCGCTACCCCAATTCTTGGCCTCTCTGGAATGTGGTCGCAGTCCCGTTCATCCGTCTTGACTTGCTTCTTCGCTCTGAGAACGGGAGCATTCATGCACAAGTCAATTGACAGCATGTATCCGAGTATGCCTTGGTCCGACCACCCGCCCGTCCGTCCATCCACCACACACGACGACGGCCGATCAGGCAGGAGAAAGAGAACAGACTGGACTTGTCCGTCTGTTATCAGGTATCCGCCCGGAGACGAAGCTAACCCCCATGAAGACGGATGGATGTGCTCCTTCCAGGCCCCGGGACTACCGCTGCTGCTGCACTGGCTCAGGCTGCGAGTCTGCGACGACCCGACGCCTCCACATGTGAAGATTTGTACCTGGAGCCAGGTTCCCTACCTACTTGCCCGGCCTTTTCTTCTTCCTGCCTCGAGGTACTTCGTGTGCACAAGACAAAACGCTCCGTTTCTTCTCCACGGAGGCTGGACAACGTCCATCGCTCACGGCCGGAACAAGCCCAGAGGAGCCAGGACAGCACCGAACGGAGGAATCAGACGTCGCGAGAGCGTACGAAATATATTTCATTGGCAAGGACCTCGTCTCAGACCTTTGCAATGCGGTTTTCATCTCCTGCAGGGCTGCAGAAGCCAGAGACCCATGTATCGAACATTATGGCCGCTGAAAGGCACATGGCTGCCATTGGGTGATTGGAAAGTACCGACTTGGAGAGCTTCCGTCCAGCCGGCTCGGTTCCTGTCAATTCAGCAGCTCGCAGGATGCCAGTATAGCACCCTATAACTATGGCCGCTTGATCAGTCAGGCTACGTACCCGAGATGCCTGTGGCTGTGGAGCGGCGCCAAAGACGACGACGTCGGGACAGGTCCAACCCAACCATGGACCTTCCAGACTGTTTCACCGACCCCGCGACCCGGCCTCCAGGCAAAACTATGCTACCGGCAAGGTGCAGGAAAAGCCCCGCAACGGGCAAGGAGAATGGTTCGTTGCAAAATTAGCGGGCCATCGCGGGCTTCACCACAGCATCGAGCAGTGGCATGCGGCAACTACTGTTCAGATGTCAATTTTCCGCCGTTGTTGGATATGTCACTGCAAATACGGATAGTCCAGATAGAATACTATGTAAGTACCAGTCTCTTGTGCACTAACGTGCGCTACCTCGGGTCTGCGTCCCTCGTGGCACCCAATCATCAGGGGCAATTACAATATCACCAATTTTTCCTGGTCTGGAGACGTTGTTTTGGTACAATTTTATATCTCGCTCAAGCCTACAGGACCGGGGCCGGTGGCCGGGGGTGTCTCCTCCCGGTGGGGGGACCTTCTCCTGATGGAGAACCTACTAACTTAGGTGGTTGGGAGTCTGGGAGTCTGGGATGAGCCTACCCCTCTGTGGATAAATGGATTATGGATATGATATATCCAGATCCTTGCCCATTTTGGTGCTTCCGTCCGCGGTAGTGGGGCTCAAACTGCCTCGGAAAGCCTTCGGTCGCAAGCTGATCAGCTCGCAATTCCGGATTCGCCCTCGGTCGTTGCAGGAGATATGATAGGCGATACCCCCATCTCCCGAGCCAACGCCCGAGCTCGTCGCTTTTAACATCCTCACAATGCTGATTGCTCTGCGTTACTACAAAAAGCGGCCCCGCCCTATCGTGCCGGAAGGGTAAGAGATGACCTCCCCTAAGGACCGGTGCGGCGGCGCTTGCTCTCCTTTGCCTCGGCAATTCTGTGTAATCAACCTATTCACCCAAGTCATCGTTGGCCAGATGAACATCATCAGATGATGCTATCGTGGCATTTCTTGCGACCAAAATCGCCACCGACAGAATACTGACCCTTTCAAGCACATTTCTCACCGAGCAAGCGCCCTGTCAGGTTCCTTGGTATGCGGCTCCCATTGACGCTCGCGGTTGCATCTCCCTGTGGTGCTTATTTGCATGCCCGTGAACACTGTGCGATGATCTTGTGTACTGTTTTAGCACTGTTCTTTCAATGATCCTCCAATCACATCTGATCTCTTTTCCGCTTTCCTCTTTCCTCAGATTCTGGTGATTCCAAACTTTTAAGTGGGTCCGGGAGTACGGAGGCACTAATGCCCGTCCGTTGTGAGCGGTGAAGCAACTTTTTTGCGGTTCACCACCAGAATTCTGCCCCGCCATCGCCATCTCGAGCATCAATCTGGGATTCTGCCAAACCCGCCGTTCCCCTAATGACCCCGACACTTACGACGACTCACGGATTAAGGCTGTTTCATTCGTTTTATTCACCGGACTGGCAGAATGGGTGTCACCAACAAGAAGACCTTGACCAAGACGCGCAGGAAGACGAGGTATGGGATATTGCAAGAGCAAACACGATCAAACTCGACGCCGTTCTGTGGTCCTAACAAAGCATGCACAGGGATGTCGACCAGATCAAGGCTGACATGCGCTCGCCGCGCCATCTGCAACGCTTCACGGGATCAAAAGCAAAGGAGGATCTCCCGGGGTTGGGTCAGCATTATTGTATAGAATGCGCCAAATGGTTCGAGACCGAGGTCAGCCTAGTTGGCCACCGCAAGGGAAAGCCTCATAAGCGCAGGTTCGTCTTCTTATATATATTTCCGCCCCCGGCTGGTGCATGCTCATCTCGTGCGTTGCGGCTCCGCTAACACACCTCCAGAGTCAAGCAGCTGAAGGAGGAGCCTTACACCCAGAAAGAAGCAGAGGCTGTCGTTGGCATTCGTACAGACGATAAAGGCACCAACAAGGGCAGCGCCGAAAGGGCCCTTGACCAGGAGATCGAGATGGAGACCTGAGATGTGTTTGCCTCCTGCCCATAAGTTTACCGTGGCTCGAGAGTAGACAGTAGATGATACCCCTTCATGACTTAATGTACTGGTCTTTCTATCACCTCTTTCTCACCACCCCATCCTGAAGGGCCCTGGTCGGTAGTGCGGGACAGCTCACCATAGCTCGGGGCGCAAGTAAGCGACGATGTTGCTACAAAATTTTCACAGCGGGCATCCGTGGAGGCACTTTCACCGGATGCCACGGCCGCGTGGTCTGACGATACCGGTACCCCGGCCTCTTGTCGTCTCGGAGCCTCCGCGGCCTCCCGCGCGACTGCGGATTGTGCCGCCACGGGTGGAAGGTGCCGGCACGCGGGAGCCTCTCGTAGTAGCGCTGGGAGTCTTATATTTCGGGGTGGGCTTGGAGGAGGCGGGTGGATTCTCGACAAACGAAACATCCGTAGTCCTGTGAGCGATTAGCAGAGTGCTTCCAATGTTTTCGAAGCAGAAACTCAGAGTTGGGACAAGTACATGAACGTCGTCTCGCCGTCAAAATCATTACTAGGCTTTTCAAGCGCCCGAGCAATACCTGCGAATGTGCATGTCAGAAATAGCCGCCAAGACCGCTACCGGACATTTTTTGAGGATCGTACCTGACCCTGCGGCCGCGTTCATTTCTTCTTGCTGCTTGGCCCTTTGGAAGGACTCGGGGACGGGACCCTAGAGAGAACAACCGTCGATCAGCATGTACGGGCAAGTCAATCGTTATCTTCTCGAATATTTATACCTCTTGGAAATCGACGCAAAAGGCGTTCATGTTCAGCCCGTACATGAAACTCGCAAACGACTCGCTGAAGCGAGCCAGGCTCTCGTGCATCAGCTGAAAGTGCATCATATTGGCCTCGAGGTCGGCCATGGCGTCCGAGAGCTCGGCAAAGGCCGGCTCAAAGGTGTTGAGGGGGAAGGACTCGCTGCCGTGGACGCTGTCCCTGGCGGATTCGCGAAAAGAGGATCGCGAGGAAGGGCGTAGCGGTGTCGTTGGGCGCATGGGCGTGGTGGGACGGGAGTTGCGCGTGCGCGAGGCCGATCGCTTGTCGCTGGAGTCGTAGTTGGCCATGATGGGCGGTGAATTGGGTTGGTTACTAAGGTATGCTTTGGAAATTCGGCGAGGGAGAGGTCGCAAGGTCGTCAATGTCGGTCGCAGCTCTTTGTGTAACGCGGGGGGTCCCAAGTGGTTGCGGGGTTTGGGAGTGAAGTGGATGGAGCAGTGGTTGTTGGTCGACAGAAGTTCTGTCGCATGGAAGTATGTCAACATCAACAAACGGCTTTGGTGGCCCATCGTCGAGCTAAGGTGCCTTGCCCAGGGTACCAGGTACCATACAAGGCACCTTACGCTTGGACTGTACATAGCAGGTCGATTTTTCCTCCTCTCTCTCTCTATTTTTGGCGGGGTTTGAAAGGCATGGCCCCGCACTTAGCTTTCCCTCCAAAACTGCAGTATCGCACGCGCAGGTGCTCTAACTATTGCCCGTCATCTCGTAATTAAAAGATCCCGGTGGACAGGTAGTCATCAGGCGGGGATGATGCACTATTGGAGTTTCCTCAGGGCCATTCCAGGTGCTTGGCCTGGTTCATCGAGGGCGCCGTGAGGCTTTTCGCGCTCGCTCAACTTGGGAGGGGCACGTACCTACGCGTTACCTTAGTACCTAAGGTAGTTAGGTACCTTTGACATCTGCCTCATCGCATCCGACGAGTGGTCGCGTGGTCATTTTCTGATCGGTATGACTTTGGGTGGATCCGCTGTAAGGTACTCGAACTCATACATGCTTCTGCTTCGCAACCACCACTAACGGATTTGAATACGACGTATTGCGCTCGTTTCCCACAGCGTTTCCATCTTCAATCTTTGGCAAACCTGAACGACCAACAGGCAACACGGTCCCTTTCACTACAAAACGTTCCGCGCATCCCCCCCGCCCAAAACAGCATCCCACCTAAACCTGGCCCTCCTGGTGCTGGTCCCGTCTCCTGCAAGCTGCTTCCCTCCCACCACACCTTCACGATAGCTCGCCAGTCCAACCCCAAGGTATCCGTACATTGGACAAATCCCCAGCTGACACCCAATTACTACAACAAAAGACACCTACCAAGGTACCTAGGCACCCAAGTTAGTCTTGGTAGCTGTGCCAGTCCGGAACGCTCGGAAATTGAGCAGCGCCTTGCGCCTACCAGCTCCCTTGGACAGCCTCCTACAGTGCTCAATCCTCGCGTGAGCGCTTATTGTCGCTGAAGTATCGTCCACCTCCTCCTCGGCCGCGTCTAAGCCTCCCTCCACCCCCGACTTTCCTCTTTACCTTACTCATAGCTCCGTCCGCAACGCTGCCCCTCCAACACTAACTCACTCACTCATTACCCACGCAATAAGCCCGGTCTCACTAAGGTAGTCCATCCGTCATCCTTTACCTTGCTTCCACCGTCCTTCCGACTTCGTTTTCCTTGTCTCTGCGTTGTCATGCCTTCGCCGCCAACCGCATAGACGTTAGTCCGTAAACTCTACCTCAGCCGCGCAACCAAAGTAGGTACCTACCTAGTCTTTCCCGAATCCTCGACCCCGCCATACCTACCTTACCTTACTTCCCCTCCGGCGCATGTCAGCCCTCCAGTCTGTCCCTCCCTCACCTCAACCTCCGGCGCAAGGCATCCTCCGGCCATCCGCGCATCAGTCCTCTGAATCCTTGTCATAATGTCAATTTCCCTCTCCAATCCGCTGCCCTTTGCCAACACTTTTCACTTTGGGATGACCCTGCTGACCCTTTCTCAGCACCACCAAACTCGTCAAGAGCGTTGACTGACGTCGTCGACTGATGCCGGTCAGTTTGAAACCACAGACCTCGGCTTTGCCTCGAATTTTCACGTTTCCACAGAGGCCTTTCCAATCCACTTCGGGGAGCCGCCTTGCGCAATTGCCATTGACTTCGCGATTCGGACGTCAACACCTAGCCAGACCCTGCCTCCGGAAGTTCTACTCTCCCTCCAAATCGTCAAATTACAGACGCTTCCAACCACTCGTATCACCACATTCACCGGGCTTCCCCAACCTCAAGACCCCACGTGTGCTCCTTGAGTCTCGATTTGACATCGTCCTCTGCTCTGTCGCCCTTGCTCTTGCGTGCGCCTACGGCTTGCTATATCAGCAAATCACCGCTTCCAACCCTACCCCTCAGCCAGATACTGAAATTCCAAAACTTCGCCCATTAGACACAATGGCAACGGACACACCCCCTGGGAGACCGGGTAACCTCACACCGGAGCAAGAAGAGAAGTTGCGCCAACTGTGGAATCTCATTCTGTCCCTGGGAGAGGAGAACAACACCGCCGCTGCAGACAGCGCGTCCGCTAGCATAGCCCCGAGCGAGACATCGGCTGCAGTGAAAGGGGAGAAGCCTAAGAAGAAGCGTACTTCGCTCTTCAGCCGCAAGGATAAGAAAGACGGCGCATCGTCGTCGACCGCCGTTCCAGCTGGCATCAAAGAAGACGCCGACGACAAGTATGGTCAAACCCAACAGTTCAAGGAGGCTCTGGCCAATCAGAGTCCCGAAGCCTTGCGCGCTACGATATGGTCCATGGTCAAGCATGATCACCCTGATGCTCTGGCCCTACGGTTCCTGAGAGCCCGGAAGTGGGACGTTGAAAAGGCCTTCGTCATGATGATCTCCACGATGCACTGGAGATTAACGGAGATGAAGGTTGACGACGAAATCATGAAAAGCGGCGAGGCTGGTGCTTTGGAAGCTGCACAAAACTCCGACCCAAAGATCAAGCAGCTGGGAGAGGACTTCATGACCCAGGCCCGGTCAGGTAAAACTTTTATTCATGGCCTCGACAAGGGAGGACGCCCCATCTGCCAGGTCCGGGTGCGTATGCACAGGCAAGGGGAGCAGTGCGAGGAGAGTCTTGAGAAGTATACTGTCTTCTTGATCGAAACAGCTCGCATGGTTCTGGCTCCTCCTGTTGATACTGCTGTAAGTTTGACCGTGTACTGATGGACTGGCTCGTACTAAGAAGACGTAGACGATTGTGTTCGACATGACCGGCTTTTCACTGGCAAACATGGTCAGTCACCCTGTTGTGGCGACACTCGATGAACGTTTTTCTTAACATCGCACTAGGATTACACCCCGGTGAAATTTATGATCAAATGCTTCGAAGCAAACTACCCAGAATCTCTTGGTGCCGTCCTGGTGCACAAGGCCCCTTGGGTCTTCCAGGGTTTGTTTATCCCGAGGCTGGTTTGTCAAGTAACACAGCTAAACGACTTTTAGGTATCTGGAAGATTATCAAGGGATGGCTGGATCCGGTTGTAGCTGCCAAGGTCCATTTCACCAACAACGTCAAAGAAATGTCAGAATTCATTGAGCCAAGCCATATCCTCAAGGAGCTCGACGGCCAGGAGGATTGGGACTACAAGTACCTGGAGCCAGTCGCCGGGGAAAATGACAAGATGAAGGATACGAAAACGAGAGACGTGCTGCTTGCTGGCAGGGAAGACCTCATCCACGAGTACGAGGAGACAACCCTGCAGTGGATCAAAGAGGCTGGAACAGACAAGGAGGCGGCCATAAAGGCACAGCGCGAGGACATTGCTCGCAAACTCAGGGATGACTACTGGAAGCTCGACCCTTACCTCAGAGCAAAGTGCGTGCTCGATCGGACAGGCGTTATCCAGGATGGTGGCAAGATTGATATGTACTCGAAGGGGCTGCCCGCTCCCGCCGCTCCTACTCCCGCTCCCGCTCCCGCTCCCAACCCCGCTCCCGCGCTCACCAACGGAGCACCCGCGGTCGAGACGTCGGCCGATGATGTAGACTAGAACCCGGTACAACCGGAATTAGAATCACGAGGGACGTACACGCAGGTTATGAGAACAACTTGGGGGGGTGCGGGGTTGCAAGAGCCAGGGACGTTGAATTACGGGAACTGATGTTCCTGCTATCGAGTAAAGGGCGGGGGTGTCAAAAACACCACAATTGGTTTCTCTACATCTTGGACTTGATATCCTCAAAGAGTGCCTTGAGCTTGTCCATATCGGTCGCTTGCTGGGGCCAGCCGACACCGAGACCCTCGGTCTCATTTGGCTTGGGGATCTCAGATGGGTGTCAGTACGAGAGCCTGAGGCGCTGGTGAGAAGTTTTACCATGTGAAAGTGAACCTATGATAATTAGCCGTTTTGAACAGTGGATGAATAAACGAATAACACTGACGTGGTCGACGAGTTGGTGGGCGATGCGGCCGTTGTTCTGGAGAATGTTGTAATCGGTGGCGCCGGTTGCGGCAACGAGCTTTTTCACAACAGGCTGAAAACATAGGTTAGAGAGAAAAACAGGATGTGAGACATTGAATGAGACTGACGAGGATCTCGCTGAGCTGGTCATCGGGGATATCCGACAACTTGGCGCCGTGGTGCTTGGGGATGACGAGCTGCGGGGACAATGTAAGTCTACGGCCGAACCCGAATTACAGGATGTAAGATAAGTCTTACAGCATGGCCGCGGCTGAGAGGGTTGATGTCAAGAAATGCAAGCGTCTTCTCGCTCTCAAAGAGCTTAAAACAGGGAATCTCGCCTAGGAAGATTGTGAGTTGAATCTGCGGTTGGAGGGGTTCGGAGATATCTTGGGGTTGGATCAAACGAGAGGAACGGGCGAAGGTGCGGTGGGGGGGGGGGCGTGGGCGGCGCGCCGCCCGGGCGGCGACGCAGGACGGGGGGGGGGGGGGGGGGGGGGGGGGGTGGGGGGGCGGGGGGGGGGGGGGGGGGGGGGGGGGGGGGGGGGGGGGGGGGGGGGGGGGACAACAAACCCTTGATGATCTTGCAAAAGATGCATGAGGCTAGATTGGACGTCATGATGGCGAATATGCGCTTCCTTAATTTGAAGATTGGAATAATAGACAAAATGAGAATTGTCGTGCAACTGCAATGGGGAGAAGTAAAGTCGATCAAATTGCGCAAAGGGAGGGTTGAAGAGATGCGGAGGGCATTTGTAGTGGGCGTGGATACGGAAGTTGAGGAGGCTTGTGTGGGGTCTGTGGGGTCAATAAACCGTCTAGTTAAAGGCAAGGTACTTAAAGACCAAAATTTAGTACAAACGCTGGAGTGGGACCTCCTATCGAACTCACCTCTTGCCTTTTACCAGATGTGACCGTTGGATGGCCCAACAGACTCCATTCCATCAATCTTTGGCAATACTTCATCTGGAGCACCCAGGTTCGAATTTTTGATCCAGAAGTTTTTGTACCTTCAGTCAATCGGGTCCACTTGTTTTTGGTCTCCGCGACGGTTTTCTCGTCGTGCAATGCCCCCAATGTAGCGCAGAAATGAGTTGCGCATAAGGTTGCTGTGCTGCGCGCGGCATCGTTCCGCAGGAGCCCAGCCAACAGAAGCAATGGCGGCGCGGCGCAGCGCGCACGACGGGGCTGCTGCTGCGACGGAGCTGCACGGGTGACCTACCTACTACGTAGAGCGTCTGGAGACCTAATCCCTGGCACCTTCGTCGTCATAAGGTACCCCTCCTTTTGCCGCAGTGTTAGATCTTTTATCCCAAGCCACCCCACCTGGTGAGGGCAGAGTAGTGAAGGACAGAAATCTGACCGAGTCTCTCCTCTCGGCACTTGCAAGCAAGACAGTCAGTCAGTCAGATCAACAAAGCGTTGTGCGCCGCCGCTTATTTCTTCATTGAATGACATTCTTCTCTATTTGCCGCATCTTTTCTTGTGATACCCAGCCGTTCGCGCCCTGATCCATTACGCCTTACCAAGTCTATAACGGTACAAATAGTAAACTCATCGTCCCGTCTGCTGCTTCATCCCCATTCATCCTTACAAGAGCATCAACGAAGAGCCCATTCACGAAAAGAGGGCAGTTCATCCTATCGAAGCAACCCTTCTCCATCCGGCAAACCCCAGACCCAAGGGAAACCATGACCCGGTACAAAAGCACACCGCTCTACGGCGGCGCTCTGGTCAGTGACTTGCCTGACAAGTTCGCCGACGTCAGGTGGGTACTCTCTCACATCCTCCCTCTCTCTCTCTTTCTTTCTCTTTCTTAACCCCTCGCTTTCTCGCTCTCAGCAGCCTCTTCCTCGGAGTGCCGTAGGCTGACGTGCGAGGCCCCCTCCCGCGACATAGCAAACTCCGTGAGGTACCCGACAACCAGGAAGTCTGGATCGACTCGGACGGCTTCACGAGCATCATCTTTGACATCACGGAGCGCGTCGGTCCCGCGGGGAGTAGCCCCGAGATTGACGGCCGCGCCTTGACAACGCATCTCGAGGAACTCGTCGGCGAGGACGTGGATACTGTCAAGGTGTGGAACACGACCGAGACCTCATTCTCGAGACTCAGGTACGTGCACAGCGTTTCTGTTCTATGGGCTGCGCACTATGGCACATCAAGTTCATGCCTTCGTCTAGAGCTAGGAGCAAATACAATACCCGCTAACACGGGAGACTCAAAAACAACAGCACAGATATCCCAGCCTATACCCTCATCGCAACGCAGACCCCGCGCGTCTCAAAATCCTCCCGCTCCTCGTCTTCCTCGGCGCCTGACTTCACGGCCATCATTCTCACCCTCGTCCGCCTCGAGAAGGAGTCGACAGATATTTTGGTTACAATCAACGTGCCGCACATCAAGGGCGAGTACGACGAGGCTGACGTCGACCTGGAACTGGGCAAGCAGGGGAAGCTAATTGGCGACGCCGTCGAGTACGCCGCGCGCATCTGGGAGACGTTCAAGGTCAAGGACTGGACGCTGTTCCAGGAGGTTTGAGAGGTTCGGAGGAGAGAGTGGTTCGGTCATAAAAAAAAGGGGGATCAAAAAAGGGGGATCAAGATTGAACGCGGGTGTTCTTCAGTATGGGAATGGATGGAATTATGAATAATGAGGAGACACACATCTATTGCACGAGAAGTAGTTGACAGATTGGGTGCTTCCCCTTTCCGCCATGGGACGGGTGTTCGGGCGGCTGGGGACGCTGACGCGGGGGAGGGTGGTGCAGTCGATAACGATACGAGATGAAGTCACGCCATTCCCTAGCTCTTTCGGCTTACAGGTTGTACTAATTGTGCCGATAATTGAAGTTTCAAAAGTGAGAGTGTGATTTCCTACATCTAGACGTTCTCAATACGGTTCCTGTACTTGGGCAAACGCTATGTTGATGTTCCGAGCTACCTACTGCTATAGGAGAGTATTATTACCCATCCATGATTGATTTCTATGCTGCGTGTACCTACTTGAAATTCCCCAGCCTGTCCAGCAACCTCAAGTCTCGTACCAAATAGGCATTTTGAGTAGAAACATCACCCTTTAGTGACCATCTTGCGCAAGAAAGTATTTCACTTCCGACCTCTCGAGTAGGCATCCTCGACCTTTAATGATCTGGCCCGCGCATGCCTACTACAAAGTCCATCTTCCTAGCGTATTTGGTCCATTTTGTTGATTTGAGTGACATTGCTTTACATGATTTGATGGTTACCAAACTTCATGTAGTATGCATCGAGCTTCATGCGGAAAGACCGTCAACGAGACATTCGATATAGAAAAACAATGCGCGCAGACACAATCATACATCAATAGCTAAAATCCGAGCAGGCGGCCTGTACGGTTCGCTCTCACTCATTCACACTGATCTCGACCCCTCATTCATGATAAATTACAACTGTGACGTTGATTATGATGCTGGCATTCCAAACCACCGGGTATGGGCTGAGCAGCACACTAGGGGGCGATGTCTAAACTTCAAGCGACGAAGCGACACTACATGTGTCCCGCTTGGCCTGGCTTTGATGCCAGTTCCAAGCCTCCACGTTTTATAACGTCAGATTTACCAACCGAGAGCCGATCTTATTCACGTCCGTCTCCGAGTCGGGCGTGGCTCGGGTACTACCACCTCGTTTTGCCCACCGCTCTGCAATAATCTTCATCACCTCCTTCTGCGGGCTCCCGGGGTACTCCTTCTTGACTACTTTCATCTGCTCCTTGAAGAACTGTTGATACTCGGACGGCTTCCCGGCGGCCCTGGGTGTCGGCTTCGTCTGCTTCAACTGCGCCTTGCAGGAGCCGCACCGATGGCGCTCCGGGTTAATGCTCTTGGAGTGGCGCTTGTACTCGAGCCCGCACTCGGTGCAATCCCAAATGTACTTGAAATCAATTTCGTACGAGTGTTTCGTCGTCACCTCGATGCCTCGGTCCCCGAACCGCTGCGAGCACTTGGCCGCCCAGCCCTTGAATTCTTTGCCGTGCGGATTCCCAGTGATGCCGTTGACCATAAAGTTGGCCAGATGGCAGAACTCATGCGCGACGACATTGAGGAGGCGATTTTCGTCGTCGATGACCTTTTCCGCGAGCTCAATGGAAGCAAAGTGCCTGTGCGTGACTGCTTTCTCGGACCCGTCTGCGTGCTTGCTGCGGATGGTTTCGCGTCTCCAGTTCGCCCTACCTGCTGTGGTGTTGAGTTTGGCCGACCACTGGATTTTGATTCCTCCTGTGGACTCTGCGAGGGCCTCTAGCTTGCCCTGAGTGATGGTTTCGTCGAGTTCCCGGAGGAAGGTCTGGGCGACGTCATGTTTTCTCTGCTCGAACGCCTTCTTGCTTTCCTTTCGATTCACTGTCGCTGTTTTATGTTCCTTTGCCTTGTGATTTTTTGCCGGACTCTTCTGGACCGGAGGCAATACCAGTTTTTTAGGGGAGTGCTCCTCGTTCCACTCATCCACAAACTCCTTACTCCAAAACATGTCCATACCAGGTCCATGAGGTGTCTTTGGGATGCTTGGGAGCTTCTTGGGAGACACCAGTGATTTGCTGGATGTTTTCAGTGGCGTCAATGGCGGGGTTCTTGGCGGCACGTCATCGTTGCTGGTTTTATTTTGCTTCTTTGGTATTTCAGTGGTACTGCGATCTCGGGGTCAGCATGGCCACAACGTCAGTTACGAGATGACTATTACATGTCTAGCCGGCGAAGAGCATCTGCCATGTCGTCAGTCAGATCAACGATCGCTGACTTTGGCCGTGTCGTCTTCTTCCCAGTCACCCACTCGGCGTTCCGCTCCTTCGTCTTGGTCACCTTTCGAGACCTGATTTGGCTGGATGGCCCGAGTTTTGGGAAGTCGATTCCTGGTGCAGGTTCTTTGACTGGCTGGTGATCCTTTTGCCTTGGTGCCATCGCCTCTTGACTGCGGCCCGGTACTGGACCGCGAACTCTTAAAGCCGGTTCTTCGTGCCCAAGGAGTGTCGGGGTGCCATCGTCCTCGAAGTCTGAGGTAGAATCACCGAAGAATTCGGAAATATCGGCTTCGGTAATCTCAGTCTGCTCGTTTGTGCTATCGTCTGATTCCTCCTCTGACCTCTGCGATGAATTCTCCGGCGGCGTTGTGTCCCGACTTCTAGCGCGTAGCTCCCTAACGCCCACACGGGGCATCTTTTTGGTTTGAATAGGGACATCGAAAAGATTCTGCCCCTCATTCCTTGAAAAGGCCCCGAATGGCCTCAACAAGGGGTTATCTGCCTTTGCACCAAGCTTCCGACGTCGCACAGCTGGCGGCGGCGTCTTAACGGCTGACTTCCCGATCCTGGAATCTTTCAAGTTTGAAGCGTTCCATTGAAGAGCTTCCTCCTCAAGCTGTCTCGAGGGCGAAGCATCATCGTCACTATCAATGCTAGTAGTCGCTGTTTGTGCAGGTGCTCTGGCGGGCTGGCAAATTTGTTTACTTCTCTGCAGGATAACATCTAGGTCGGGAAATTCGTCCTCACTAGACGAGGCGAACTCGATGTATCCGGCCATTTGGTGATGACTGCTATTGCCGCTTGTCGTTGGACGTCCGTCTCTCTCTTCAAGTCTCGTGGGCTTGGATGTGGTTCGACTTTGCACGCAGTTGTTGCAGAGCCACAATGTAAGTCGGTCCGCGACTTCCTCGTTGCGAGGGGCAACCTTTCGGCTAGGAGTGGGTGGATTGGGCTTTCTGGAAAATTGCCCAATCAAGCTTGCGGATGGCGGCAAAACACGTGACATTACCAGAGGTCGCTTAGACAATTGCCTACCCAGGTGCCTCAGGGGAGGTAAGGAGTAAAGGCTTGATAGAATTCAAAGAATCCACACCCCCAGAGCCTCCGTGACTACCTCCGTATGCAAGCTTTGGATTATACATGATACTCACAATTTTTTCATAAGGCCCTTGGGAGCAAAGCCTGCCGTCCGAGTATCAACTGCCAGAATTCTGGAAGAGGAGCATTCAGATCACTGTTCGGACCAAGAATGGCCGTTCGAGGCTAGCCCCCGCCCGCTGACAAGCCCCAGGTACCCCTGCAAAGCTGAAGCTTGATTCATTCGAGAATCGGCAATGCACAGCCCTGAACGAAGCGTCGGGATACGTGACCAAGCAACCGTCTGCCGCCCTTGAGAAGTTGAGCACACTGACCTTGAAAAGCCAGCGTCGCGAGAAACACTGCCGTGGAGTCTTACATGTTGCCATTTGGTCTAGACAGTCAAGATCCAACAGGATGTACTGTTATGTAGCGGTAGATCAGGAACGGGGAATCGGTGTCAAAACACCGCACCGCTGCTCAGCAGGCAATCGGCACGCACGGAAATTTGACCCCTCTGCCTAAAGATGAGGTGCTGTGTCACTGAGAGGGCGCGCTTCCAGAGGGGCCCAGCCAAATGGAAACGCGCATCAGAAAACACACTCGCTCCAGCTCAAGGAGTGCTAACTTGCTAAGATGAGACCCGCACCTGCCAACGCAGGTCGCCAGCGTCCCGAGACCCCTCTCCTCACACTGGAGCGACAAGCCTACGGATGGTCTCCAGCCTGGAGACCAGGGAAAGCAAAAGGATGGGGGGATTGCCGCCCGACCAGGGAGAAAGGCCGCGCGCGGGAAAGCACAATAGCAACGGTAGGACCGGGGTCTCTCCTGCGACCTGCCCTGGTAAGTGCCGGACAATCTTATTCTCAGTTGCCGCATCAAGGCTCTCCAAGCAAAGAAAGAATATCGACTATCGCCGGCACGATGCTGACAACGGCACGGTCCTAGTATCGCGAGACAAAGAACAGGAAATAGACGGATTGTATGGTCTGTGTCTTATCTCGCCCCTGTCTGCAGCGGCGGAACAAAGGAAAGAACCACTGGAAGCCCGTTGCCAAAAAGAAATTCTGGCTTGGGACGGGCATCGAACCGTTGTCCGCTGCGCCACGAAAGCCACCCAGCGGTGGAGGGCGGCGGGCGGCGGGCCTTAGAGAGGGATCTAGCATGAAACCGTAGCCCCCGGGCGTCGAAGCTGGTGCTGTTGGCTGCCGCTCGTGACTTGGAAAGCTGGCAGATTACGAAACGTTTAGGACTCAAAGCTACCATTGAAGATTCGCCGTCAGCTAGTCGAAGTGACGCGAGGGTAACAATTTCAGAGGCAGCCCGAGTGAACACCCTGTCGAGTAGTTATATAGTCTAAAGACTTGTAATACTCGGATATGTGAAAGACCTATGGAGTATGGCGAAGGGAAATGCAACGGAACGCCACCCTCCGATCGAGATTGTTGAGCAACTCGGAATCCGGCTATGCAGTGGATGCTGGCTAGGCAGTGAATCTCTGGCTGTCATTGGTGTATTGCGCTATCGCTCGCAAAGGGCAAACTCGGCTTACTCTACTCGCTTGGCATGCCGGGAAATGCCATGGCATGGACCGGTATTCCCAACGTGGTTTTCTTTTTTCTGTCAAGTGGTTGCGGACGTGTGAGTGACAGCATCGTTATGGACCGTCAGTGTCTGTAAGAGGTAGAGGAACTGTTCGGGTTCCTAGATACTCGTGTAGACGGGAAGAGGATCGGGGAAGAGGCAGTTGAGGAAGCGCGTTGCGAAAGCCCGACGCCAAGGCAGGACTGCGCCTTGGTTGAATCTTTCTCGGTGAGTTGTTCAAGTGCCAATTGGTAGAGTGTCTCCCAAGTCTCTGATTGACTCGTTTTGAGCCGGTACCTGCATCCAACAGCACATCCACATCGCGCCCGCTTCCTACCTTGCCTACCTATTTTAGGTATGGAAGGTAATGCTACCTTGGGGGATCGTACGTCCGTACACCACCCATTCACTCATTCCTACCTACCTAGGTACCTAGGCACCGTGGCACGTTACGCATGGTACCTTAGGTAGGTACAAAATACATTGTTTATCGTTATCGTTAGCGACCTCCCACCCTCCACTTCTTCTCGCCTTTCGTTAGGTACCTTAGGTAGGTCCCTGCCTGCCCCCCCTCCCCAACCAGCCTTCTTCCCATTATCGCCCCCTCCAAAATGGAACGAACCTGGCTTCAATTCAACTGACCAGTCACTCAGCTTCTCAAACCCTCCAGAAGGCCCAGTTCGATGGATGGAGGGGTTTGCTGACAAGGTGATGGCCATCCATCGCGGAGAGAGCATCGTCCTCTTTCCCGTTAAATTTCCCTTGATGCCGACGCACTAGTCCCGGTCGATTTTGACCGCAGTGGCTCCTGACCTGCACACCAGCTTCCTTGCATCTGCCTAAGGTACCATACCTTACTTTGTTTCCATTCAGATCACTACAGGACAACACAGGTATATGAGACAAGGCCGCTCTTGGAATAAATAGTGGAGGGATGGGCCCATAGTACTGCAGAATCTGTGCATCGAAATGGAAACAAGTCGACAAATCGCTCCATCGCCTTTCCTCCACGGCCAATTTCACACTCGGCATAACTGTCGTCATTCAGATGCACCACCATGGCCCATGTGGGTATCAACGCCAGGTATCCGTAAGGAACCACCGGTACCACTTACATTGTAATGCACCTTACGGATACTATGTACGGACGTAGTACTGCATGTACCTCAAGACCTGGGTTCCTCATGTCGCGTTTTTTCTGACGTGTGAACATTTTGTGCAACGGAATACAGATGGCAATTGCCACAGCGCCAGACTCTAGAGATTTCGACCCCCGATCATCCAACTCCGACATGGCATTGTCCAACCACCCTATTCAGCTTTTTGCTGTTTGACGGCTGATCCTCTCCTAGTGGTGTTGATCCGTTCACGTTCGTTGTCGGGCCGCCAAGTAAAGTCGCCAAAGCGACGCGTCTCTAGAGCATGGCAACCGAGACGCGACATGCGCTCTCTCGGTATACGGACAGTGCGAGGAGTGAGCATTCGAAGATACATCAATGGTGGGTTCAAATTTCACACTAATGTAGCGGCATCCGTACATGTCTGCATCGTGCGGCGGTGGCAAACCCAACGCAACCTTTGTCGGCGTCTGGCCACTTGGCAACCGACAGACACGAAGTGCAACCAGCATAACTACGGGCTCTCGACTCTGGAAGATTTACCAGTCTCGTACCCGCGAAGGCCAGCAGCAGTGACAAGGAACCATTTCCGTCTTGTTCAAGATGTACAGATAGCCCGCGACAACTGATAGAATCTTTCGGTCCTGGTTGCTGTTGATGGGCTGGCGCAGTCGACTCACGTTACCAAACTTTGTTTGTGCTCGCCGTCGAGAGTCCGACCTGCGATCAATCAATCCGATCTCCGTGCAAGAGTCAGAGTATGCTGGGTTCCGCCTCTGTCTCTGCTTGCGAGCTGCAGCTAACAGCTCGCTGAGGCCGAGGGTCAAAGCGAACAAAAGCCACATGGATTCTATGCGAGAGCTGCAGTTGCTTATCGGCTGCCCACCCACGACCATCCGCAAAAGTCTGTGTTGCTTATTCCTCAGCCTCCCAGCGCCTTGGCTGTGGCCGGCTGATGCAGACCGCCACCGTGGCTCGGAATATATGCGAGTAGTGTAAACAATGCGGCTGCTACAAGTATGCGGCAAATGTCTTGGCAGACAACGTGAAGGTGAAGCGTCGCGAGCAAGGGAAAAGTCCTCGGGAAAGACGATTTGAGATCGGGGCCAAGGGAACAGTGACAAGGTGCGAAGCGAGACGAGTTTGACAGCATCTTGAGGATAGGATGCTCCGTTTCTCGCTAGCTGCGGACGATTTACGCGTCCACCTCGTATTGCAGATCGATACGGCGTTAACGGCGACCGCGACGGGCCGAGTCTCCCAGGCGGGGAGCACTTTGCTGGCTGGAGTGCTGGAGTGGGAAGCGCAAAGTTGCAACCAACGCCCATAGGCGAGGCGGCGGTGCCAGAACTACAGGTTTGGGAGGCACGGAGGTCAGACGCTCCCGCGACGAGACGAACCCTCTGTCCCTCCTCACCCAGATTCGCTCGCCCAATTCACAGCGATCTCTGTTCTGATCTGGACGAGGCATTGAGTCGTCAGTCGACCCCTGCCCTAGCTCTGAACTCCCTAGCAGAAGTACCGGAACGCCCGGCCTTGCTCTGGGACGGAACTCAAGGATCCAGATACGCAGTACTCAGTAGTGCCCCCTGTTGCCCGGATCGGTTACCCCTGTCCCGTGAGAGGATCAGCAAGTCCTCCCTCGTTGAGACATTTGTCCACAACCAATCGAGAAGAAAACAAGAGACAGAGGACGGATTGATAATCCTATAGAGAATTGGCCGATGGAGGGCTAAATTTGCCCCAATGAAGCTCGAACTCAGCACGCAGCTGCCAAGGACCGCACGATAGATTACGAACATGTGTCATGGATGCGGATAACGAAATTCAACTCTTTCAAGCTTCAAGACCATCACATTTGCCAGGATTGAAAGCACCAGGCCGCGGGCGTTAGTGACGACAGCGAGGACCGTGGACGACGCGTGAAGTGAGTGCCCTTCAACTTTCACTGCAAGTTGCCGGGCATCTTGCGGCATAGAAGGCGACTCCGACACCAGTC